GCAATCCCTCACACTAAGCATGCTTGTAGCGACAGTGGAGAGGAAAAACTCCCTTTGAACAGGAAGAAACCTCCAGCAGAACCAGGCTCAGTGTGAGCGGAGAAACAGGACTACACTGGAAAAACAGGCCGATCTCCAACATCTAGAAACAAAGGTGTTGATGGCAGCAGCACAGCTGATATTTCTCTCCAGGATGGAGTCACAGCCAAACAGGAACAGACCAGATGAAGCTACTATGAGAAAAAGCAGAGAGAGCAGAACGTTAGAGATTGAACTAACAGATTCTGCAGAGTGGGAGAATAGAGATAGAATGATGAAATAGGGGTCCCTATGTCCTCCAGCAGTCTAAGCCTATAGCAGCAGAACTATAGAGATAGCTCAGGATAACCTGAGCCACTCTAACTAGAAGCTTTATCAAAAAGGAAAGTTTTAAGTTTTAAAATATATTTTCACAAATGAGAAAAAAAAATATTTATATATATATATATATATTTCCGCGTTGGATTGGGTTTTTCTGTGCTCCATTGATCAGGTCTTCTTATGACAGTAGTAGACATTCAAAATGGCACCACTTTCCTTGATGGGCCCTTGGCTGGTCCCCTACAATTATTTTTTAAACATCAATCTTTGTACTAAAATATTATTTCAGTCATGATTTGTGGACATTAAGATCTTAAGAGTTGCATCATCTCCTGGTCAGACCCTGTAATTCAGTGAAAGGTTGGAGTAAGAGTAAAAAAATATGCAGGAGGTAGCTCCAGTGGCTGGAAGTTGGAGGGAATTTTGCTGCCATTCGGCTGGTTAGGGCCATCTTCAATGGCTGCCAGTGTTTGCTGAATCAACTGAAGCTCTGACACCAAAATATCCTGAATATGACGAAGCAGAACGAGTTGAGTCAGGCTTAATGTTCTGTAATCAGACTTACTGAAACTGGAATGTTTAACATCCAGCCTCCCCAGCTTTGTGTGTCAGTGTGTGTTTCCTCATTAGCGGGAGCCTCTCCTCCAGGCGGCGGCACGCTGCTCAGCCATTGGCTGCTCCGTGCGTCTCTGTGTCCCAGATAAACAGGCTTCACATTGTCCCCCAGGCCTCCTCTGATTGGCTGAACCACAGCATGACCCAGCACCGCCGCGGAACACAGAGCTGGTCCAATTCCTGCTGAGCTGAACCGTCCCGCCGTGGGAGGAGCCAGAACCAGCAGAACCACAGCCGGGTCCCCGGATCTTTACAGCTGCTCTGAGGGAGAGCAGAGAGAGGAGCTGCAGTCTGTGGTTCTGCCTTTAGACTCCGGCTGAGCAGCAGGGAATCAAACCCTCAACCTGCAGCTCAGCGCCGGTGGAGGTCATGTGACTCCAGGTGACTCGACTGCATGTAAAGTTCAGGGAAATTAGCTGCAGCACATTTACATGGAGAGAGAGAGGGAGCAGACGGTGATGTCACTTCCTCTGTCTTCAGAAGGTTCTGGAGGTTCTCCTGCTTCTGGATCATCCTGGTTCTGCTACTGATCCGGTTTGCAGCGGTGATCAGATCAAACTGTTTCTGGTTCTGATGGTTCCAGGATCTCTCAGTATTCCCAGTTTCTGTGCTGTTGTCCTCAGATCTGGACCCTAACTGGGCCAGAACCCAGGCTGTGTTCTGGCTTGGTTTTCTAACAAACATGCCTTCATTGGGATGTTTATATGGTTCTGATTCTGAAGTCGGGTGGATGGTTTTGAATCAAAGAGTTCTGGATATGTTTCTGGATCCCGGATCCAAACGGGTTGGTGGGATTCAGAGAAGGTTAATGACCCGGAACCAAAGCTGAGACTGCAGCTCCGATTCAAACCGGGTCAGAGCCGAGAACTCTACCTGTCCTCCATCAGCGGCTCACAGAGAAAAAAAAAAAAAACCCACCTGAATCCTTTTGGCCCGTTTCACTTTTTCACAGACTCAGAACCGGTTCTGAACGGAGGACTGGACCTTAAACGCCTGCGTTCTAATTCTCAGTGGGTTCTGTTGATGGATGATCCGAGCTTCAGTTGGAGCTGATGAACCGAGTATGCGCCAAAAGTTCTGGTTCGGTGCTGCTTCCTCCTCTGAGCTCCCATCTTCCTCCATCATCTTCATCACATCTTCATAGCCGATTAGCCGCTAATGAGGACTTTGATCTGCTGCAGGAACTCATCAAGCCTCAGCTGGAAACCAAGATTGTTCTGATAGACGGAGCTCTGGCTCTTTATCAGCCGACCCGGATCAGGACACGCTGCTTCATGATCATCCTGAGGTTCTGATCCGGCTGCTGGAACGCCAGAAAGATGCTGGTTCTGACCCGTTGGTTTAGGATGCCAGCGCTGACCCACTGATCCATGAAACGATTCATGTTTAGACTGGATCAGAACTGTCTGTGAAAAGATGAACAATTTGAGATAAGGGGTGTGGAAAAAAATCCTTTCTGCAATATATCGTGATTTTTGGCTGCCTGATAATGTCGATCTTTTAGTTCTTAGTATCTATTTTTTTTAAAGCAAAACATTTTTACCTAATACTGGGGGAAAATTGGCTACCTGTGCACCACCACTCTGGCAGATGGCGCTGTGGAGCCATTTTGCTGTGCGGTGCAGCGCTATACCTGAAGTTGAGGCGGTCGCAGTGGAAGACTTGACTGACTTAAACCCCAAGCAACATGGATACCCAAATATCTGAACAGTCAATATCATCTGATGAACATATACAGACGTTGCTTTTTTATCAATACATTTAATTTTAATAGCAGGAAAAATATTGAAATATATGGTGATATTCAGTACTCTGTAGGGGGCGGTGATAGCCATGCTAACTATGTAGGGACAGTGATAGCCATGCTAACTATGTAGGGACAGTGATAGCCATGCTAACTATGTAGTGGCAGTGATAGCCATGCTAACTATGTAGGGGCAGTGATAGCCATGCTAACTATGTAGGGACAGTGATAGCCATGCTAACTGTGTAGGGACAGTGATAGCCATGCTAACTGTGTAGGGACAGTGATAGCTATGCTAACTGTGTAGGGACAGTGATAGCTATGCTAACTGTATAGGGACAGTGATAGCCATGCTAACTACGTAAGGGCAGTGATAGCCATGCTAACTGTGTAGGGACAGTGATAGCCATGCTAACTATGTAGGGACAGTGATAGCTATGCTAACTCTGTAGGGACAGTGATAGCTATGCTAACTCTGTAGGGACAGTGATAGCCATGCTAACTATGTAGGGGCAGTGATAGCCATGCTAACTATGTAGGGACAGTGATAGCTATGCTAACTGTGTAGGGACAGTGATAGCTATGCTAACTGTATAGGGACAGTGATAGCCATGCTAACTATGTAGGGGCAGTGATAGCCATGCTAACTGTGTAGGGACAGTGATAGCCATGCTAACTGTGTAGGGACAGTGATAGCTATGCTAACTGTGTAGGGACAGTGATAGCTATGCTAACTGTATAGGGACAGTGATAGCCATGCTAACTATGTAGGGACAGTGATAGCTATGCTAACTGTGTAGGGACAGTGATAGCTATGCTAACTGTGTAGGGACAGTGATAGCTATGCTAACTCTGTAGGGGCAGTGATAGCCATGCTAACTATGTAGGGGCAGTGATAGCCATGCTAACTGTGTAGGGGCAGTGATAGCCATGCTAACTGTGTAGGGGCAGTGATAGCCATGCTAACTGTAGGGACAGTGATAGCTATGCTAACTGTGTAGGGACAGTGATAGCCATGCTAACTATGTAGGGACAGTGATAGCTATGCTAACTGTGTAGGGACAGTGATAGCTATGCTAACTGTGTAGGGATAGTGATAGCTATGCTAACTGTAGGGGCAGTGATAGCCATGCTAACTGTGTAGGGGCAGTGATAGCCATGCTAACTGTGTAGGGGCAGTGATAGCCATGCTAACTGTGTAGGGGCAGTGATAGCCATGCTAACTGTAGGGACAGTGATAGCTATGCTAACTGTGTAGGGACAGTGATAGCCATGCTAACTATGTAGGGACAGTGATAGCTATGCTAACTGTGTAGGGACAGTGATAGCTATGCTAACTGTGTAGGGATAGTGATAGCTATGCTAACTGTAGGGGCAGTGATAGCCATGCTAACTGTGTAGGGGCAGTGATCGCCATGCTAACTATGTAGGGACAGTGATAGCCATGCTAACTGTAGGGGCAGTGATAGCTATGCTAACTCTGTAGGGGCAGTGATAGCTATGCTAACTGTGTAGGGGCAGTGATAGCCATGCTAACTGTGTAGGGGCAGTGATAGCCATGTTGATGAACTGACTGCACAGACCATGTTTTCAGGAGGACTTTCTCACTTCAACATAGATTCAAACTACTTTTTACCCGCTGATCACAGCTAATATAGCAAAGCTGCTCTCTGGCATTGAACACAGAAGCAGCAGAAGCATCTGGACTCACTTTACTGGACAGCTGACCTTAATGTGGACAAGCATCAGAAATGAAGCAGCAGAAGCTTTTTTGGTGCTAAAATCATGGTGTGAACGTAGCACTAGACTTTCTGATTGTTTGAATTAACTTTTGAACATAATCTTGTTGCTAAAAATGATTTTATACCTTCCTTATGAATTTTCATAATAAGGACAAGAGTAGTGTTGGAACAATGACAGAAAGTTAGATACATTCCACCTCAAAATACAGGAAATAGCGTTTTAGAGTCTAAATTTAAAAAATTTCTGGGGGAAGGATACCCCCAGACCCTCCACACCTGGATGTGAAGCACCCTATGAAATACTCCTAGATAAAAGCCTGTTTAAACCCAGTTGATACCAGTTAGCAGCTCCTGACCAGTTTGTCCTGACCCGCAGCTCAGGTGTGACTCCTAACATTTTTTTTGCCTTTGTTTCTATAGGAACCATGTACCTAGACTAAAACGCTGCAGTTTCACTTCCTGGTTCCAGTTTCAGATCTTATTCCAGCAGCCAGTTTCTGTCTAGATCCTGATGTTTGTGTGGTTCTGCTTTTTTTTAGTTCACGCGGGTCTGGATCCCGGACCAGGATGACGTGTGGAAAGCGGCTGAGATCACCAAAGACTACAAAGAGGGAGAACCGGTCCTCCACCTGCAGCTGGAGGATGGAACGGTCAGTGGATCGGAACATTCATCCTCACACCTCTTTACTGTTATCGGTTACTGCTGCTACTTAGCGCTCATCGCTGATGGTTATCAGTCTGATTTGTGATCGGTCTGTTTGAGATGAGGTTTGATTTATGGTTACTTTACACTAAGAGTAAGAATACTTCCATAAAGGATTAATTATCAATCTCCATAAAGATCAGAGTATCATCGGCATATGAGATGATGTCAATATTTGGACGACTTCTTCCTTTTTTAGCTTTCTGTTCAGATAGAAAAAAAGGAGCAGAGATAAAAAAGACTGTCTCATATTTAAGCTTTTTAAATATGTATATTTATATATTTAGCTCAGATGTAGCCTTTAGATTGTTTCTCCTGATGACCATTCTTGGATCGTCTCACCACGCGGTGTGGAATCAGGCGCCACCCAGACCTCTATGGGTCGTTAATTGTTGAGGATTCCAGAGCTGACGGGGCTTCCTGATTGGCCGCTCTGCATCTGAAGCCGCTTTCCTTTTATGGACGTACAGAATCTCAGACTCTAAATGTATTCAAATCTGAGCTGAGCGTTCAAAGTCAACCTGACTTGGTGACGTCATGCGTTTGATTTATGATCTAAGGTTAGCTTAATGTTGAATGTAAACAGATTTAAACCTGATTCAGATCTGCTTCATTAAACAGTTTCTTTAACGTCGCTGCTCACCAACCTGAATCTCACAGTCCAACAATCCTTCTGCTGCTTTTATGGTTTTCACCTGATAACAAAACTGCAGACTCTAAAACAATGAAGGAAGAAGCGTTTTATTGTTTTATGACTCGTTGATTTTCAGCTGTAACGGACCTGCTCTGATCCGACAGGAAATAAATCACTTCTCCAGCCTTTACTGTCAGTTTACTGAAAATATTTCTCTAGATTTAGTCCTGGTTCTCGGTTAAGGCGCTCTGAAGTCATGCCGTCGGTTCTGACCGTGTTCTGTGTTCTGGCTCAGCCCCTGGAGTACCAGGTGGGTCCGAAATCCAACGCGCTGCCGTTCCTGAGGAACCCCGACATCCTGGTGGGAGAGAACGACCTGACGGCGCTCAGTTACCTTCATGAACCCGCCGTGCTGCACAACCTGAGGGTCCGGTTCCTGGAGTCCAACAACATCTACACCTACTGTGGTCAGTCCCGCTCAGACCCACACACCTACTGACCACTTTGACATGTTTTGATCCTTTTTTGATTTTGGAATCAAATTGGAACAAACACTTTGTTGTGTTTTAATAGCTGGTTTACCTCAATGCATCAGTTATCAATCATTTACTTGCTGCTCTCTGATCACACGTCGCTGAAGCTCCACCATCATTGTCACATCCATTTGAAATCACCCATAATGTCCCGCCTCTAATGCCTCTGGTTTGCAGGTATCGTCCTGGTGGCCATCAACCCGTACGAACAGCTGCAGATCTATGGAGAGGAGGTGATCACCGCCTACAGCGGTCAGAACATGGGAGACATGGACCCTCACATCTTCGCCGTGGCCGAGGAGGCGTACAAACAGATGGCCAGGTAAACCTGAGGCTGGCTGCTTTCTGGAAACAGGAGCTCAGATCCGAAGTTCACTCATTTCTAGGGAAACAGTTGATTGCATCGACTCACTGGCTCCTCAGCAATCCCTCACACTAAGCATGCTTGTAGCGACAGTGGAGAGGAAAAACTCCCTTTGAACAGGAAGAAACCTTCAGCAGAACCAGGATCAGTGTGAGCAGAGAAACAGGACTACACTGGAAAACAGGCCAAGCTCCAACATCTAGAAACAAAGGTGTTGATGGCAGCAGCACAGCTGATATTTCTCTCCAGGATGGAGTCACAGCCAAACAGGAACAGACCAGATGAAGCTACTATGAGAAAAAGCAGAGAGAGCAGAACGTTAGAGATTGAACTAACAGATTCTGCAGAGTGGGAGAATAGAGATAGAATGAAGCAGAAGGATGAAAAAGGGGTCCCTATGTCCTCCAGCAGTCTAAGCTTATAGCAGCAGAACTATAGAGATAGCTCAGGATAACCTGAATACCTAAAACTAACATGTTTGCAGTGATTTAATGAATTTAGCATTAATCAGTAAAAAAATAAAAGCAATTTTCATTGCCATCACTGAGTCTAGGAGCGGCCATATTTGCCTAAATATAGTAACCCCTCCCTCCTGCCATCTTCCGGCAGTGACGTCACGGTGCGGTAAGCCTAGCGCCATTCTCCCTAACCTGACTCCGCCAGATGGATTTGCTCCGCATATCCATCTGGAAACCTTCCGTTGAAGTAATTTTGGGAAGGGGCGAAAATACTGGTTAGCTGATTGGCCTATGTTGGTGATAGACGGGCCAAATAAACCAATCAGATCAACGAAGCATATGACGTACTAACAGAGCGACGATGAAGAGGAGCCAATTGATCGATCAAACTCTTGCTGAAACCAGTCGGGAGAAGAGCAAAAACATCTTTTCCTCTGAGAAAAGCCTCCAGAGCAGTGTTTTGCTCTTCTTTCAGTGAAGAAATACTCTGTAATTCCCATAAAACCTGCTCGATAGCCACGCTAACGCTAGTTTCATCGGCTGAAGCCGCCATGTTCTTTAGACTGAACTGTCGCGCTTCTCGTTGCGTCACACCTCAACCCGCCTCAAAGCCAACACTGATTGGACGTTCGTTTGGTGAACGGCTCCAAATTTAACGGAGAGTCTCCAGACTGATCTGCGAGTGAAACCTTGAAAGCTCGCGAGATCAGGATGGTCTCACGAGGCTACATTCTCCCCACTTTACAAGCAAAATCAATGGGAACTACTAGACACATCTGCAATCAACAACAATTATTGAAGATTTCCAGAGGACTTCACCATTGAAATTCACCAGAGCTATAGTGAAACTGACAATGCCCACGTGCATGGCAGCTGGATGTTGGAATACATGAAAAAAAATGACTTAGTTCACCTTTCCGATTCCTGACGGGACGGGAAGACTGGAAGAAATGTAACCCTGCCTTTAAAGCATCTCAGAGAATAGATGAAAACTCTTTCTTGCTTTGACTAAACCAAAGGTTTAGATTTAAACAATCTGAAGTCACATGACCCATTTGGCTTTTTTTATTTTTAGAGACGAGAAGAATCAGTCGATCATCGTTAGCGGAGAATCCGGAGCAGGAAAGACGGTTTCGGCCAAGTATGCCATGAGGTACTTTGCCACGGTGGGCGGCTCCTCCAGCGACGCCAACGTTGAGGAGAAGGTCCTGGCCTCAAATCCAATCATGGAGGTCAGTTTTTCCGTTGGTTCAGAGGCTCCATGGCGTTAGCTTGTTTAGTCTGGAGTTTTTAAGATGTTTCTACCTCTGAGTTGAAACAAAAGGGAAACATCTGAAGCAAACTTTCTCCTCAGGCCATTGGGAACGCCAAGACCACCAGGAACGACAACAGCAGCCGCTTTGGGAAGTACATCCAGATCGTGTTCAGCAGGCATTACCACATCATCGGAGCCAACATGAGGACCTACCTGCTGGAGAAGTCCCGCGTCGTCTTCCAGGTGAGCTCCGCTCTCTGCAGCGCCCCCTGCTGCTCGCCACCCCTCCGCTCTGAGCTGAAGGTTTGCCGTCTGCTTTCAGGCAGAAGAAGAGCGGAACTATCACATCTTCTACCAGCTGTGCGCCTCGGCCACTTTACCCGAGTTTAAGGAGCTCGGCCTCAGTGAGTCCACCTCTGACCGTCTGATCAGGTCCTCAGACGCTTCCAGCTGCTGATTTCATTTGTTTCTTCTCCCTCAGCGAGTGCAGAGGACTTCACCTATACCTCTTTAGGGGAGAACATCTTCATTGAAGGAGTAAATGATGCTGAGGACCTTAAACGGACCAGAGAGGCCTTCACCCTACTGGGTAAAACATTTCCTCACCTTCTGTGAGGAACCTGCCGCTGGAAAGTAAAGGAACAGGCATAGAACCCTTTTGTTGTGTTACCAGGTATAAAGGAGAGCAATCAGAGCGGCATCTTTAAGATCTTGGCCTCCATCCTTCACCTGGGGAATGTGGAGATCATCTCTGAGCGTGACGGAGAGTCCTGCCACGTCGGTGTAAGTCTGCCAGCCCATCGGCGGCCGTCTGGCTTTCTGTCCGCTCTCTGACCCCGGCCCGTTTGTTCCGCAGAGGAACGACGTCCACCTGGAGCACTTCTGCAGACTTCTGGGCGTGGAGCTGAAGCAGATGGACCACTGGCTGTGCCACAGGAAGCTGGCCACCGCCTCGGAGACCTATGTGAAGACCATGTCGTGCAAACAGGCGAACAATGCGCGTGACGCTCTGGCCAAGCACATCTATGCCCGCCTCTTCGACTGGATCGTGGAGCACATCAACAAGGCGCTGCAGACGTCCTCCAAGCAGCACTCCTTCATCGGCGTCCTGGACATCTACGGCTTCGAGACCTTCGAGGTCAACAGCTTCGAGCAGTTCTGCATCAACTACGCCAACGAGAAGCTCCAACAGCAGTTCAACTCTGTGAGTCCTGCAGAACCGGGCCGCCCCCGGGCATTGGCGCTGTCTCTAACCGTCCCTTCGCTCCGTTTCTGCAGCACGTCTTCAAGCTGGAGCAGGAGGAGTACATGAAGGAGCAGATCCCCTGGACCCTCATCGACTTCTACGACAACCAGCCCTGCATCGACCTGATCGAGGCCAGGCTTGGCATCCTGGACCTGCTGGACGAGGAGTGCAAGGTAAGGTTCTGGACCTCCTGTCACCCGGTGACTAGACGGACCTAAAACGGAATAAAGAAGAAGAGTTCTGTTGGTTCTGGTTCCTGTGCCTCACCAGGTCATGCTTTAGCCTCTTGTTCTTTAGAACTAGAACTTCTTTGGACCTTTTGTTGCAACAGAACCAGATTCAGATACAGGCTGATGGACAAAGAGAGGTTCAGCCTGGGTTCTGAAGGTTCTGAACCGACCTGATTGTTTCCAATGAGGGACCAGGAAGTGATTCTATCAGACCCGGTCTCTCCGTCACGTCTAACTGGGTTCTGTTCTTCAGGTTCCAAAGGGAACGGATCAGAACTGGGCCCAGAAGCTCTACAAGCAGCACTCTGGCAGCGCACACTTCCAGAAACCCAGAATGTCCAACACGTCCTTCATCATCATCCACTTCGCCGACAAGGTGAGCAGAACCGGGTGCTGGGAGGGAAGATCAGAGCTCAGAACCGCAGAATGGATCGGGTCAGAACAAAGAGGTTCTGAGTGAAATATCAGTGGAAAAGTTCCTGACTTCAGAATCTAAAACTCATTTTCAGCCTGATTCTGGGTCCAGAAAATTAAAACCAGAACCGGGTCTGGACTCCTTCAGCGTCTGGTTCTGATGGTTACCTTCAGGTCATCTGGGTTGGTTGGTTCTCTGTGGGGTTCTGGTTGGCCCAGTTTGCTGGCCAAAGGGCCCAATATCGCCATGGTTACTGGACCAGCTTTTATTACCTGGCAGTGTGGGCCGGTTCCAGGTCCGGTTGAAGGAACCAGGAGACGTCTTTGGACTTCAGAAAACGGTAAAACCTGAACAAGAAGTTTCTGCTTCTGTTCTTCTCCACTCTTCTTCCAAACTTTGGAACCTTGATCTTCATCTAAAAGGACTTTGGACTTTTAAGCAAACAGCCTGGTTCTGGTTTTCCTCGGGTTAGAGGCTTGTAGCCTGTGCAAAGGTTCAGTTTCTGGTTAATGGTTCTGGATGTTCCAACTCCAGTCTCAGTCCATTTCCAGTTATGCTTTGTTCCTAAATATCTTCTCCAGGCCACAGCTGTCACACTTTTTCCTTCCACTAACCTTCTGTGAATAATCTCTAGAAATGAGCTTTGGGTCATCCTCTCTATCTTTATCAATCCAAACGGCTCCTTTGTTTTCTGAGCAGCATGTTTGGAACATTAATGTGCTGGAAGACCCAGCTACCTCCCTTCTTCAAAGTTCTCACTGATGGATGGAAGGTTTGTTCTTAACCCTTTAAAGCTCGATCCAAGAATAAAACAAAACAGAAAATTACTTTTTTTTGGGGGGGTTTGAAATCCTTTTTTGGCCTTTTAACAAAATATGTAAAAAGAAAAAACAGAAATATATTTTGATATTAATAATTTATTACTATGCGATAAGTCAAGATTATTTTTTGTGTAGTCTTCTACTGGCTGTTATCAGGTATATCTGACTGTGTACAATAGGATTTTTTTTTTACTAGGGATGCACGATATTGGGATTTTGGCCGATATCCGATATGCCGATATTTTAAAACTCATGTAGCCGATAACCGATATCGATACCGATGTTAAAGCTGGACAAAAATAAGTAGTCATTGAAAATAGCAGTTTTGTTATCCATTTCTGACACTTTGAAAAATAATATACTCAAATATATTTTCATATGCTGATATCAAATAGACTTTTAAAAAAACGCGGTATCGATCTATTTTACTTTCAAAATCTGGTGAAATTTCATCGTTCTGTTACAAACTCTCGTGATATTTTGCAAATTCTTGTGAGATTTTGTTAGTAAAATAGATCGATACCGCGTCAATATATCAACATATAAAAATATGGCAACATTTCGTGGATTTTCGGGGGATTTCGTAGCATAACGATGACATATAGCAATATTTCATTAGTAAAAGAGATTGATATGGTGTTGTTAAATGGCAATATATCAGCATATGAAGATATTGGGATATTTTAATGTATCGATATTTTTTCCCTCGTCTTTAGAAGCTTTTAAGTCTCTAAAAAAGAAGTTTTTGAGGAAGAAGAAGTAGTATTTTTTTTTTTTTCTTTAGAAACTCAGAAGCTGATCAAATATCGGGTTAAATATCGGTGGGGTGGCCGATGTCCGATATTCAGTTTTCAGGCCGATGCCGATAGGGGGCCGATTATATCGTGCATCCCTAATTTTTACCATTAAATTATGCAAAAGGTGTCGGATGCGAAACATTTCAGAAACCGTATGTATCAAATATGATACATTTGGCATTACAGGGTTAAAAACCTTCATTCTACCTTTAACACAGATCAGTCCTTCTGTCTCCTCTGTAGAAAAACAGCCAAAGCATGATGCTTCCACCCCCGTGCTTCACAGGATCAGTCTGAACATTCTTCTTCCTCCAAACGCGATGAGTTCAGTTTGTTCCAGAACATTCTGATCTGGTTCCGTCTGAACAGATGACGTTCTCCAAATCCTCTTCTGGATCATAAATCTGCTCTCTGTCAAACTTCAGTCAGACTCCACATGTTCTGACCTCAGCAGGATGTGAGCCCCTCTGGTCATAGTGTGTCACTGATGGCAGCCTTTGTTCCTCTGGTTCCTTCTTTCAGCTCATTCATCAGGTCTCTCTGTAGTTCTTTGGTTTCTGCTCACTGTTCTTGTGATCATTTTCTCTCCTGGTGTCCTTCAGCAGATCTTTGGTCCTGGCCTTGGTTGAGTTTGGAGTCTGACTATTAGAGGCTGTGAACGGGTGGAATGTATACAGATAAGCAGCTCACACAGGTTCCAGTAATAAAGAAGGACAGTAGAGCTTCCTAGAGAAGGAGTTACAGCTGTGGAACAAAAAATAATTTAATTTTCACTCTCATTTACAAAAAACATTGTTTTAAATGTTCTTTTTTCCTCCCATAGTTGAGGATGAATATCACTGACCTCACTTGTTTCTAACTAGGACAAATTACACAGTCAGTGACTGACTGAATACTTTTATGTAAGTATGCAAAACAGAGGTGTGTCCTGCTGTCGTCATTTCTGACCAATAGGAGCCGTGATCGTCACGATTGTGGTTTCGCTGTGGTCCACTTGCAAAAAGGACAATTTGAATGCAAACCGAATCAAATGAAAATTAAATGACAGTCCAGACCAAACAAACTGTTTGAATTCACCATCAGAACATCTGCAGGTTGCAGCAGCAGGTTAATGACCTGATAGGCTGGGGCACCATGGGGGCCCAGTATTAAACTTTTTCTGGGAGACTGGTTCTGGGTTATATTGATCTGAGTCATAATCATAAAAATGTTTCTGAATGAATCTTTATAACTGATGAGTTTCTGTTTCTGAAATGAGCAACAGAAATATTGTCCTTTTTGAGCCAAACATTCATTATGAGAAGCGTCCAGCAGAGGGCAGCATGACTGAGGCCTGCAGGCAGTGAATTTTCTTCCAAAAACATTCAATTCTATTCAGTTTATTTCTATAGCACCAATTTACATCATGTCATCTCAGGTCACTTTCCAGTTCACCAGATCATCCAATCAAATTGATTCAAAGTTTTCTATCTAAGGAAAACCAGCTGATTGCATCGACTCATTGACTCTACAGCAATCCCTCACACTAAGCATGCTTGTAGCGACAGTGGAGAGGAAAAACTCCCTTTGAACAGGAAGAAACCTCCAGCAGAACCAGGCTCAGTGTGAGCAGAGAAACAGGACTACACTGGAAAACAGGCCAAGCTCCAACATCTAGAAACAAAGGTGTTGATGGCAGCATCACAGCTGATATTTCTCTCCAGGATGGAGTCACAGCCAAACAGGAACAGACCAGATGAAGCTACTATGAGAAAAAGCAGAGAGAGCAGAACGTTAGAGATTGAACTAACAGATTCTGCAGAGTGGGAGAATAGAGATAGAATGAAGCAGAATGATGAAAAAGGGGTCCCTATGTCCTCCAGCAGTCTAAGCCTATAGCAGCAGAACTATAGAGATAGCTCAGGATAACCTGAGCCACTCTAACTAGAAGCTTTATCAAAAAAGAAAGTTTTAAGCCTAGCCTTAAAAGTAGACAGGGTGTCCATAAAAAATGCAATCCAGAAAAGAAACTTTAAACAACTTTTTACTCATTAAAAAGGGTTTAAAGCATTGCTGTTTTCTCATGCCTTTTTTGTTGTTGTTTTAAATTCATGTTTTATTTATTTTCAGTTTCATAATTTATATTTTTATGTTATCCTTTTCAAATAAAATTTGAACTTTTTTATATTTGACTTTTTAGAAACTATTTGAACTGTTTTTTTCTTCATATTTTTATTTAGCAAATGTATTATTTGTTTCTGAGCAAACACTGTTTCTCCCCAACCTTCTTTTTTTAAAGTTTCATTTCTATATTGCATTTTTGTCTAATTTCCGTTTACAGAACATTTTCTTTGCAATAGTAACGTAACAAAGTTCCGTCCGGAACTCAGAGGTTCGCAGGTTTTTCCTCCCCTCATCTTTGTCCTGATTGGTTGGATCCTGCAGGTGGAGTATCAGTGTGAAGGTTTCCTGGAGAAGAACAGAGACACCGTCTATGAGGAGCAGATCAACATCCTGAAGGCCAGCCAGGTGGGAACCAGAACCAGAACCAGTTTGAATGACCTGAGCCCAGTTTAAACCCATGTTCCACCTGTTTCCTTCCAGTTCCAACTGGTTGCTGACCTGTTCCAAGAGAAGGATGACCTTCCCTCCTCCAAATCCTCCAAGGTCAACGTCCGCTCCCTGAAAACCGTCCCCAAGGTTCCCAACAAGGAGCACAGAAAGACTGTGGGACATCAGGTGGGTTTGGTTCTACAGAAACTTTCCTCGGACTTTTCCGAGTCTGGTTCTGAACTTTGTTTCTATTTCAGTTCCGCTCGTCGCTGCATCTCCTAATGGACACTCTGAACGCCACAACGCCTCACTACGTCCGCTGCATCAAACCCAACGACTTCAAGGAGGCCTTCTCGTGAGTTTGTCTCCTTTACAGAACCGGGATCCTCCAGAACCTGTCAGCTCAGCATACGGCGTCAGGCCAGCATAGCCTCAGTAATACACATAAAACAACAAATATTAGCTTTAAAAAAACCATTGTGTGTCCGTTTGGCGAGAATCTTATTAAAGAATGATCAGGATTTTTTCACAGACAGTTCAATATTTATAGGTAGAGGATTTATGGAAGAAAAAAAGTCTCTCTTTTTTTTTTTTTTTTTTTAACACCAAATTTTAAACACTGAACTTTTTAAACACCGAATTTGAATTGAATTCCTTACCCTCATTTTTTATCGTGTGAAAATTCACCTGAAAAAATTCAGCTACGAAAAATTCAGTTGCAAAAAATTTAGCTAAAAAAATTCAGCCGCAAATGTGTTGACCTTTTGGTGAACTCAAGCCAAGGCAATCTACACTCGATAGAGTCGAGCAGCTTCTAGCCAATGAAATTCGGCCGGCGGCAAACTTTTTTTCTTCTTCATTTTGGCCAGTGGCCAGTTTGCCGCCGGCCGCTTCTTCCGGATCAAACCAAGAGCCTTGGCAGACAGGGGTGCTGCACTCGCTGTGATCGGCTCAGTTTTTTCACCCAATCTGATAAGAGGAAAAACTCTACTAGCTGTCTGTTAGTAGCTAACTGACGTTTTCTAATTCTATTTAACAAAAAAAAATTCCTTATTCAGCTGGAACAGTGCTGAGCGCAGCCGTTGTTACGTGACCAAATGAGCTCATTTCATTGGCTAGAAGCTGCTCGACTCTATCGAGTGTAGATTGCTTTGGCTTGAGTTCACCAAAAGGTTAACGTTTTTGCCGCTGAATTTTTTGCAGCTGAATTTTTCTTTTGCTAGATAAAAATAGAGTGTAAGGGATTCAATGTCTAAAAAAATGCAGTGTTTAAAATTCGTTGTTAAAAAATTCAGTGTTTAAAATTCGTTGTTAAAAAATTCAGTGTTAAAAAATTCATTGTTTAAATTTCGGTGTTAAAAAATTTAGTGTTAAAAAATTTAGTGTTTAAAATCCGGTGTTAAAAAAATTCATTGTTTAAAATTCTGTGTTAAAAAATTCAGTGTTAAAAAATTCATTGTTTAAATTCCGGTGTTAAAAAATTCAGTGTTAAAAAAATTTAGTGTTTAAAATCCGGTGTTAAAAAAATTCATTGTTTAAAATTCTGTGTTAAAAAATTCAGTGTTAAAAAAATTCAGTGTTTAAAATTCAGTGTTAAAAAAATTCAGTGTTTAAAATTCGGTGTTAAAAAAATTCAGTGTTAAAAAAAATGTAGTGTTTAAAATCCGGTGTTAAAAAAATTCAGTGTTTAAAAGTCGGTGTTAAAAAAAAATCAGTGTTTAAAATTCGGTGTTAAAAAAATTCAGTGTTTAAAATTCGATGTTAAAAAAATTCAGTGTTTAAAATTCGATGTTAAAAGAAAGGCAGATTCCAATGAGACTGTTTTTTTCATGAGGATTCTACACCCCAGTTGACAGGATATGAGATTTATTTGTTGTAGTTTGTTTAGTATGAGCAACATGCTCATCATTTTAATATTTATAATTATTTTTACAGCACATGAAGAAATACTGAAATTATTTTCAGATTACACATAAATATATTAATTCTGCAGGGGAAAATGAATGACTTTAAGGTAAGGATTAGGCTTAACTCGATGCTAACAGCCTACTGAGCCTACTGGCACAATCTGAAGCCATTCTATGGAACTGATAACCGCTAATAATAACGATCATTCACGCATGCGTGTTACTAAAGTTACGCTGGGCTCACGCGGTAAACTGAGCTGACGGAACACCGGGACCCTGGTTCTGGATTAGAACCAGTGACAGTCTGGCAGCGTTAGCTAGATTCTGGTTTCATTCATCTTCTCTGGACTGGAGGAGAATTATATGGAGGATCAACTCTGCCATATTTAAAAATAAATACAGAAATGAATAAATACTCAATAAATAAATAAGCATACAATTAATTGCCACAAAAAATACAATAAACAAATAAATGTGATTAAAAAATAAAGTTGAAGATTATAAAGGACAAAAGAATCAATAAGGTAAATATTACAAAGGCAAATAAATAAAGAAGCTAATTAAAAGAGTTATATACATTTATGTCTCACTGTATAATTTAATTTCTACTTACATTTATTTGTTTATTGTATTATTGGTGGAAACATTTATTGTGTGCTTATTTATTTATTGAGCATTTATTCATTTCTGTATTTATTTTTAAATATGGCAGACTTGGTCCTCCATAAATTCAGACCCAATAGAAATAAAGAATAAAAATTCTAAAGAAATGATAAAGAAATGATCAAATCAAGTTTGACAATTTAGATCAGATTAAAAACGCCTTTGATTTTGTTTTGATTAATATAATAAGCAGCAAAGACAAAAGGATCACCGGCCGGTTGATGTTTCCGAGGTTTTTTTAGCATTTATTCTTCTCATATCGGCTGTTTGCTGACTTATCAGCAAAGTTTGAAGCCTTGCTGATCCCTCTATCGGCTTTCTATCGGTAATGTCTAGGTGAATTTGTTAACAAAGCTTTGGTTATTATTTAAATGTAGAACTAAGGAACATTTGTTGTCATTTTTCATGAATAAAAAGTGATAAAGGCTCAACGAATTGAATAAATAAATAAAATGAGTCCAAATAATCGGTACCAGAATATGAACCAGGATTCGAGGAACCAGGAGATGATCGTTTAACGTCACTGGAGGATTGTTGCTCTGAGTCGAATGTTTGAAAAGCAGATTAATAATCCACAGAATTAGCTTTGATCTCAGATTCAGTTTGATAAACTAAAACTGAAACAGATTGAAGATCTGATCAGAGAACAAACACCAGGAAGTCCAGATAATCGGCACCAGCTGCTGGTTTGGGTTCCTGCCTTCATCTGGGTCTGAACAGAACCCGGTTCACCTCAGAAGAACTCTGTGGATGTGAAAGCTTGTAAAGGGTCTTGGTACCGGTTCTGATGCTGGACCCAGAGATTCTCTGGGCGTCGGATCGACTTAATCTCTCTGAGAAATGTTCAGAACCAAGTCCAGAACCGCTGCTGGACCACAGACGGATCAGAACTGCGTGGTTCTGGTCCGGTCTAGTGGTTCTGGTCCAGTCTGTGGTTCTGGTCCAGTCTGTGGTTCTGGTCCGGTCTGTGTTGTTCTGGTCCGGTCTGTGTGGTTTTGGTCCAGTCTGTGGTTCTGGCCCGGTCTAGTGGTTCTGGTCTAGCCTGGGGTTCTGGTCCGGTCTTGTGGTTCTGGCCCGGTCTGTGTGGTTCTGGCCCGGTCTGTGGTTCTGGTCCTGTCTGTGTGGTTCTGGTCCTGTCTGTGTGGTTCTGGTCTAGTCTGGGGTTCTGGTCCGGTCTTGTGGTTCTGGCCCGGTCTAGTGGTTCTGGCCCGGTCTGTTAGGTTCTGGCCCGGTCTGTGGTTCTGGCCCGGTCTGTGGTTCTGGCCCGGTCTGTGTGGTTCTGGCCCGGTCTGTGTGGTTCTGGCCCGGTCTAGTGGTTCTGGCCCGGTCTAGTGGTTCTGGTCCAGTCTGTGTGGTTCTGGTCCAGTCTGTGTGGTTCTGGTCCAGTCTAGTGGTTCTGGTCCAGTCTGTGTGGTTCTGGTCCAGTCTGTGTGGTTCTGGTCCAGTCTGTGTGGTTCTGGTCCGGTCTTGTGGTTCTGGTCCTGTCTGTGTGGTTCTGGCCCGGTCTAGTGGTTCTGGTCCAGTCTGTGTGGTTCTGGTCCAGTCTAGTGGTTCTGGTCCAGTCTGTGTGGTTCTGGTCCAGTCTAGTGGTTCTGGTCCAGTCTGTGGTTCTGGTCCGGTCTAGTGGTTCTGGTCCAGTCTGTGGTTCTGGTCCGGTCTAGTGGTTCTGGTCCAATCTTTGGTTCTGGTCCAGTCTAGTGGGATCTGGCCTGTTCTAGTGGTTCTGGTCCAGTCTGTGGTTCTGGTCCGGTCTAGTGGTTCTGGTCCAATCTTTGGTTCTGGTCCAGTCTAGTGGGATCTGGCCTGTTCTAGTGGTTCTGGTCCAGTCTGTGGTTCTGGTCCGGTCTAGTGGTTCTGGTCCAGTCTTGTGGGATCTGGCCTGTTCTAGTGGTTCTGGTCCAGTCTGTGGTTCTGGTCCGGTCTAGTGGTTCTGGTCCAATCTTTGGTTCTGGTCCAGTCTTGTGGGATCTGGCCTGTTCTAGTGGTTCTGGTCCAGTCTGTGGTTCTGGTCCGGTCTAGTAGTTCTGGTCCAATCTTTGGTTCTGGTCCGGTCTAGTAGTTCTGGTCCAATCTTTGGTTCTGGTCCGGTCTAGTGGTTCTGGTCCAATCTTTGGTTCTGGTCCGGTCTAGTGGTTCTGGTCCAATCTTTGGTTCTGGCCTGTTCTAGTGGTTCTGGTCCAGTCTGTGGTTCTGGTCCGGTCTAGTGGTTCTGGTCCAGTCTTGTGGGATCTGGCCTGTTCTAGTGGTTCTGGTCCAGTCTGTGGTTCTGGTCCGGTCTAGTGGTTCTGGTCCAGTCTTGTGGGATCTGGCCTGTTCTAGTGGTTCTGGTCCAGTCTGTGGTTCTGGTCCGGTCAAGTGGTTCTGGTCCAATCTTTGGTTCTGGTCAAGTCTTGTGGGATCTGGCCTGTTCTAGTGGTTCTGGTCCAGTCTGTGGTTCTGGTCCGGTCTAGTGGTTCTGGTCCAATCTTTGGTTCTGGTCCGGTCTGTGGTTCTGGTCCGGTCTAGTGGTTCTGGTCCGGTCTAGTGGTTCTGGTCCGGTCTAGTGGTTCTGGTCCAGTCTGTGGTTCTGGTCCGGTCTAGTAGTTCTGGTCCAATCTTTGGTTCTGGTCCAGTCTGTGGTTCTGGTCCGGTCTAGTGGTTCTGGTCCAATCTTTGGTTCTGGTCCGGTCTGTGGTTCTGGTCCGGTCTAGTGGTTCTGGTCCAATCTTTGGTTCTGGTCCAATCTTTGGTTCTGGTCCAATCTTTGGTTCTGGTCCGGTCTAGTGGTTCTGGTCCAATCTTTGGTTCTGGTCCAGTCTGTGGTTCTGGTCCGGTCTAGTAGTTCTGGTCCAATCTTTGGTTCTGGTCCGGTCTAGTGGTTCTGGTCCAATCTTTGGTTCTGGTCCAGTCTTGTGGGATCTGGCCTGTTCTAGTGGTTCTGGTCCAGTCTGTGGTTCTGGTCCGGTCTAGTGGTTCTGTTCCAATCTTTGGTTCTGGTCCGGTCTAGTAGTTCTGGTCCAATCTTTGGTTCTGGTCCGGTCTAGTGGTTCTGGTCCAATCTTTGGTTCTGGTCCAGTCTTGTGGGATCTGGCCTGTTCTAGTGGTTCTGGTCCAGTCTGTGGTTCTGGTCCGGTCTAGTGGTTCTGTTCCAATCTTTGGTTCTGGTCCGGTCTAGTAGTTCTGGTCCAATCTTTGGTTCTGGTCCGGTCTAGTGGTTCTGGCCCGGTTCTGCTCTGCAGCAGACCAGCATTTGTGCAGGAATGTGTTCTGAGCGTGTGTCAGCGTAAATCTAATCAGGGTCACATGTTTCGGGTCGGGCCGTCCTCAGCAGTCCGTCTGCGCTGCTGCAGAATCTCTCACCATGTCCCACAAGAAGACAAGGTGAAGCTCCGTGTTCTGACCCGATCCGACCCGGTTCTGGACTCTGTTCTAACGTCTCTGTGTCTCTGCAGGTTCGACTCGCGGCGGGCCGTCCAGCAGCTCCGAGCCTGCGGAGTTCTGGAGACGATCCGGATCAGCGCCGCCGGGTATCCGTCCAGGTGAGGAACCGATCAGATCGTTCTGGATGATTCCGGTTCTGCTGGGCCACAGAACCCGGCGCCAGGCGGGTGGATAACGGTTCTGTCTGTGCCAGGTGGACCTACCCGGACTTCTTCAGCAGGTACCGGGTTCTGATGAGGAAGTCGGACCTCAGCTCCGCCGATAAGAAACAGGTTTGCAAGAACCTGCTGGAGACGCTGATAAAGGTAAGAATCTGGTTCTGATCCAGTTCTAACAGCCAGTCTGGACCGGGTCCTCTAAAGGTTCTCCAGACAGCAGCGTTCCAGAAGTTCTGGTTGGATTAATCCGGTTCAGAGACGGAGGGATCCGACCCGATCCAGCTCCAAACACGGCGCCGTTCATCCAGGTCCAAATAGCTTCTAGAACCGGACCTTAGTACTGCCTGGTACCGACCCGTTCCTCCATCCCGCCTCGGTAGGAGGAATCGGACCATTTAATCTAGATACTGAACGTTGGATCAGAACCAAGAACTCTTTGGGTCTGTTCTGGTTCTCTGTAAGGTCCAGATCTACATCCGATCCAATTGGATGAGAACCGTACCATGGATTTATGCAAGACCAGGTGTTCTTGAACAGAACCGGTTCTGTTTGATTCTGATCAGAATTATCTAAACTAATAAACCTCCATCAGAACCGCAGTAACCGGACCGCAGACCGGGAGCAGTACCAGAACCATCCGTCACATTTAGGTTATTTACAGCCTTCGGTTCTGGTGGGTTCTGTGTCAGAGACCCAAAGCTGTAGGATGATGCCGAGCCATAGTGCTGACCCGTTCGGTACCGACCCAGTCAGTGTCCGCCTGTCTGTGTTCTCCCACAGGAACCGGACATGTTCCAGTTTGGAAAGACGAAGATCTTCTTCCGGGCCGGTCAGGTGGCCTACCTGGAGAAGCTCCGGACCGACAAGTTCCGCTCGGCCTGCATCAAGATCCAGAAGACGGTCCGAGGCTGGCTGCAGAGGATCCGGTACCGGAAGATCCGCAGAGCCGCCCTGGAGCTGCAGAGATACGGCCGGGGATACCTGGCCCGCAGGTGAGGCGTCCTGCTCCGGTTCTGATCCAGCCCAATAGGTTCTGGGCTTTAACCCGTCCTCCTCCTGCAGGTATGCGGAGTTCCTGCGTCAGAACCGGGCCGCCCTAATCTGTCAGAAACAGTACCGCATGGTCCGAGAGAGGAGGAAGTTCCTGAGGATCCGACGGGCCGCCATGACCATCCAGGCCTACACCAGAGGGATGTTCACCCGCAGGATCTACTGGGAGGTACGGAACCAGAACCGCAGCCGGACCCGGGGTCTCCATCAGCCAGCAGCACGTTTAGAGGCTTTACTGGATTCTGGTCTGAGGTCCTGGTGACCAAGTGGGCAGCGTGGAACCAGAACCTGGTTCAGTTCTGTTCAGTTTAGCTTCAGGTACAGACGAGTGTTCTGCTCAGGTCCGCTTTGGATCGGTTCCACTGGAAGCCTTATTGACCCGGTTCTTCTGGGTTTTCCTCCAGAGGTTCTGCTCTGAGGGGAGCCCTGCTGCTGCTGCACACCGATCTCTATTTATTCCCTGGTTGCTGAGCGCCCGTTGGTAGTACAGGGTGGAAGTTAAGCTACAAGCCGCCATATTGGTACTCCCTATTTAGACCGGTCGCAATGTAAACAATCTGTGCGCTAACGCATCAAATAACCATGATGTTCTCATTTTCCGTGGGGGTTAAGACTTTTAAAATAAAGATAAATTCATCACTTTGACACAGACTAGCTGTTTTATAGCATCAGTAGATTATTTTAACTTAGAATAAAAAAATAGACGTCACATTGCAGAGTCATTATGAAGTTTTATATTATATAAAACCATCACAATAAAATTAATGTGTTAATGGAGCATAATAATACAGATGTACCAAAAGGGCTAAATTGATGATCTACATGTATGGAAGTAAATCTTTGTCGCTAGGATTTGAATTAAAAATGCCACTGAAAGGTAAATGTTTTAGTGTTAAAATATATTCAGAACACATTTTTGACCTAAAAAAATTAAAAATGAAAGTAATAAACTCACCGTTGAGTTAGCGTTAGCTAGCATGACTGGCTCCGTCATGCTGGTTTTCCTTCAGTATGAGCGCCACAAGCGTCGCGTCACGTGACTAAGAAACCGTAATGGGATTGGCTGGGTGTTGGACGCCACAATCCATCGCTAATGTCTGTGACCTGAAGTAACCCTGCCCTTTTTACTCTGAATTTAGACGCCGAATTTAAGACGGAAAATATTGAGTTTGAATTTTGAAAGGTTGAATTATTTTATATGCAGATTTTTTTAACACTGAAAATTAAGTATTGAAAATGTAATCACTTTGAAATAGTAATGTGAATTTTTAGCTTGAAGAGAAAATAACTAATGAAATTTCAACTGTGTAGAAATAACGACAATGAATTTTTTTTTAGGCCAAAAATGTGTTTTGAATATATTTTAACACTGAAACCAGTAACTAAAAACATACATTTAAATTTCAGAGACATTTTTAATTCAAATCCCAGCGACACAGATTTACTTCCATATACATGTAATAAACATGGATTGTTTTTGGTGTCTTACATATAATTTAAGATTTTACATAAAGACTGAATTACAAGTACATGTCTATTAATGTTACAGTATTTTCCCCCATATATATGTATTTAAATGTATGTACGGGGGTCAAATTATATAGTTTTTTCCGTCAATATAACATGCAAAATATTTCAGCTCATGACTTTTTCAAATGAGAAATAAAACACTACAAAAACAACGGCATCGTCCACCTAATAAAGAATTACGACATTGATATTTCACAGGAAATTACTTTCTATTTACTCTACTTTCTATTTTCTAACGTTAGACAAAATGTAAATTGCTAACTCAGTCAATAACTGTGAGTCAGTCCGAGAGAATGTTACGCTGCTAAGTTTACTATAGGAAAAATCAGCGTATAGATGGATTTATTGGTTATTTCAAATTACCTGTGGAACGTTTTCCTGCAGCCAGAAAACTGGTTTCTGCAGCCAAATGTACACATGTAGCCATTTTGACTGCGCATCTCTGTGGGAATGGGGAGTACCAGCATGGAGGCCGGTGGCTTCACTTTTTTAGGCTATCAGCAATCCAGTGAATAAATAAATAGAGATCAGTGGTGCTACAGTGTGAACGCCCTCTGCTGGCAGCTCAGCTGTACTGCAGAGCTGAAATAAACACCGAGGCTGATGTGGAGCAACAAAGGATCGCTTTGTTTTCTGAGTCAGAACTTCCAGTGGGAAATGATTTCTGTTGCAGCTCAGCCACACAGATAAACCTTTATACCTAAAGGCTGAAAGCTTCTCCCCATCCAGCCTTCTACCCTCACATGAAGTTAGACCTCAGTGGACCGGATCAGAACCAAACATATTAGAATAGAACCAGCAGATTCAGCTCAGTTAGCGTTAGTCTAGAATAAAATTAAATAAAACATTAATGAAACATGGTGCTCAGTGCAGAACACCTCAGTGAAAAGTTCTGGTCCGGTTCTGGCTCATTAAAAATCTAGAACCTGCTTTGTGAAAACGGAACCTTTTATTTTGGAAAGTATCTGAGCTTTATTCTGAAAAGGCTAGTTTAGAGACACAGAGGCTTATTAAGTTATTTTGTCTTAAAATAAGTGAATTCTTTCTTGGATTGAGGAGGTAAGTGAGACAATTTGCCAATAGAACAAGACAATTTACATTTAAAATAAGAACAAACTATTTCATTGTCTTCTTTCAAGTGCATTTTATCTAATCATCTTATTTAAAGAGTAAAAATACTCTTTCCATTGGTAAATACACTTAATTTAAGAAATCTACTTATTTCTAGATTGTTTTTGCAGTGCATTGCTATAAACCAGGGATTCCCAAAGGGGGGTTAAGCTGTGATCCATGACATATATGGAGGGCAGAAAAGATCAAAAAATAATTATTTATGTATTTTATTACTAAAATATTAAATGTAAATAAAATTTGAGCAGAAAACAGTTTGCTGAATTGATCACAATTCTTTAATTATTGAAATAATACAATTAATTTAGTAATCAATTAATCATTAGAAGATTTACAGACATATGTTAAACATGCCATTAGCAGAATGATTAGTTGTAATTATGCCAAAAACGTTAAAGATAAATATTTTGCAATTAAGATTAAAGCGGTTTGCTCATCCCAGAATTTTTCATGAGGAAATTCTGAATAATTACTATCCATTTACGAATTGATTAATAGAAAAAATAATCGTTAGGTTAAAACATTGGTAAAATAATAGTTGCAGCCCTTTCTTAAGTAATTAAATGTTGTTTTAAAAGGTGCATATATTTAAAAGTTGCTTTATATTTATGAATAAATACAGAGTGCAATATTTGGGAACGCCTGGTCTAAACTATGAGATCTTGAGGCTTTTATTCTGTAAAATATCAACTTTTTTAGAGCCTAATCCTGGGATTTAATTAATGCTTTTACTTTGAAATGCATCCCCCTTCTAAACTATACCTTCCTCTCATCTAATGTGAGTCTGAAGCTCTTATTTTGAAGGAGAAATTAATACCGTTTACATCATTTTCCCCCCAATAGGATATATGTAGGACTTTTATTTTGACGGGAATCTTTTCTTCCTACTGTAATAACTCAGACGTTGCTGCTGTTTGGTCACTGAATGCTGGTTCCATTGCAGTTCCTGCTGCACCACAAGGCCATGATCATCCAGAAGCACGTCCGCGGCTGGCTGCAGAGGAAGAAGTTCCTGCGGGCGCGCAACGCCGCCATCGTCATCCAGTGCGGCTTCAGAAGGATGCAGGCCAAGCGGCTCCTGAAGCAGCGGAAGATCGAAGCGCGCTCCGCACAGCATCTGAAGAAGCTCAACACAGGGATGGAGAACAAGATCGTCCAGCTGACGAGGAAGATGGACGAGCAGGTACTTTACGACACAGCCGGCCCCTGGGGTCCGCAGAGGCACCCGACCGACACCGTGTCCCTTTCAGTCCAAGGAGCTGAAGACGCAGAACGAGCAGCTGCTGACGGTGAACGCCTCCCTGGGCTCAGAGGTCACTAAGCTGCAGAAGGAGCTGGAGTTGGTCCGGAACCAGCAGCCCGACGGAGGCAAGGTGATGTCACTACAGGAGGAGGTGGAGAAGCTGAGGGAGGAGCTGCAGGAGGCGCACACCCAGAGGAAGAAAATGGAGGAGGAGCACGGCAGTGAGAAGCTGAGCCTCACTCAGGTGAGAGCACACCTGAAGCATCTGGGGCAGAAGGTTCTGGTGTGGAACTCTGTGGTGGTAATGATGTGTTTGATCCTCAGCGGGTGGAGGAGCTGGAGAGGGAGAACTCCCTGCTGAAGACTGAGAAGGAGGAAATGAACCGACGGATCCAGCAGCAGGCCAAGAACTCTGCAGGTAAAACCAGAACCGTCTCCTCCTCTGGAGTTCCAGGTCCAGGTTCTCCTCATGAGCGCTTTGTTTGTTCTTCAGAGGACCTGAGCAGCTCGTCCCTGGAGACGGAGCTGGACCAGGAGCGAGAACGCTACCAGAACCTCCTGAAAGAGTTCTCCAGGCTGGAAATGAGATATGAGAACCTGAAGGAGGAGGTGTCCCTGAGCAAGGTGAGACTGACCCCAGGTCAGACCTGGAGCCTCCAGGCTGCCAGCAGAATCTGATGAGAAAGCAGGGGTTCCTCTGGAGGATCCGGGTTTCCTGAACCGTACAGAACCTTTGATAAACACAAAAGGAACCAACAGTTTGATGTCCAAGCAGAGACCAACTGGTTCTGATGTTACAGAACTTTGTTCTTCAGATGTTCTACCTGCAGCACCATCTATTAACAGCTTTTTGAGTCTTTATCTCAGTAGTTCTTGCTGAAGTTTAGCTGTTGCTCCATCTTCATCGTGTCCTTCTGTCTGTGATCCTCCAGTTCCACCCCGGCCACCGCAGGACCACGTCTGACCAGATCAGCCTGGAGTCCGACTCCAACTACCCGTCTGTCTCCACCTCCGAGGTGGGAGACACCGAGGACTCCATCCAGCTGGTGGACGTGAGTCAGGGGGGCGGAGCTTATCCTTCCTGTTTAAAGGTGGGCTCATTGCCTCATTTCTGTGCGGTTCTGCTGGTTTTCAGGAGATGGGGGTGGAGAAGGCGGCGATGGACATCAGTCTGTTCATGAAGCTGCAGAAACGAGTCAGAGAGCTGGAGACGGAGAGGAAGAGGCTGCAGGTCAACCTGGACAAGATGGAGGAGATCGCCAAGCGTAAGGTCAGTATCCTTAAGGCCAGGACGAGCTTCTAAACGACGGTCTGCAGGAAACCAGAGTCAGAATAATTAACATCTTTTTTCCTCAAAGGGTTCTGAGGCCAAGAGCCCAACTTCTGACGTGGAAACTGCAGATCTGGCCTACAACAACCTGAAGGTACCTCAGAGGAACGTCTTCTGTCTTTATTCAGTCCGGTTTGACTTTAGAACATCAAAACTTCTGTTTTATAGTAAACCGTAAAGCCTGGCTTATGCTCAGAGACCAGGTCGTCTGCGTGTGTTGCAGTTAACGCAGATATCAGGGTTCCCGCAGGCAAGGGCGTAGGAATATGTTTACTATTGGGGGGGACACATGTCGGAAATCTGAGATTCGTATTCAACAGAAACATATCTTAAGTATGCTACTTAAAAAAAGGCTATTTAATCTTTTACTTTATTCCTTTATAAATGTGTCTTGCAAAAATAATGCATTTAAAATTTACATAATGCATTTGTTCATAAGATGTGAGCATATCACCAAACAAAATGACTGGAGTCTTTTATTAAGCAAAGGGAGATGTCTTTCAAGGGCTTCAACCCTTAGCATATTTAGTGTCTGCATCACACTAGAAAATCAAATATTTCAGTTTGATTAAAAACAATTCACTAAGCCACACATGTGCAAAATTTGATATGTTTTATTTTGTCAAACTTGCAATAATGGTCAAAAATGAATTTATATAGGTTGACTGACAGAGGGAGCTGACAGTGTGTTGAAGAATTATGGACAGGGCGCTTTGAAGCATCTGGTTCAAAAACGCATTATCAACCTTTGGTAGAAATCCATCCATCCTTCCATTTTCTGTACACCCTGTTCCTTAGTGGGGTCGGGAGGTGCTGGTGCGGGATACACCCTAGACAGGTGGCCAGTCTGTCAAGACCTTTGGTAGAAATGGCGCCTTTAATTCCAGTTTGCAGTACAGAACAGAGAAAACTACAGAGTTGTCAATGTTGTGTTAATCTGTTTATCGTCTAAAAAGAGGAGCCAGCAGTTTATTTGAGGAAATAAAGGTGCAGAAGTTAATTAGTTGGTTAATTAGTGGTTGTGCAGTGGACTGCTGCACGACCAATGCGACTGCCGCTGCTAAGAATTAAAATTAATTCTCCCTGTGGTTTTAACTAACGATCAGGAGCGCGGCAGGTATAACATCTGTCCATTTCGGCGAATCAAAACCACGCAAAAAATAAAAAAATCCTCGTTAAACGCACGCCCAGATCGGGCTAATTTCAACACAAGTTGTGTTAGGTGACTGTTACTCACACTGACGTTTCTCTTTAAAAAAAAATCTGAGTAAGTCCTACTGCTGTTTCAGCCTTTTAGTTGGTGGTGGCATTGTACTGAAATGAGATATATATAAAAAAAAAAAAACATTTTGGCTAGCGTAGCAAACGTCTAGAGAAAGTTAGCAGTTAAATATTGGATGAGTGATCAGCCCAAGACTACGGAAGAGGATTAGGGCCACTGAAAAAAAAAAAAAAGTTAAGTGATTTTTAAATTTCATTTCAGTTTAATACGGGAAAAAGGTCAGAATTCTGACTTTAATCTCAGAATTTTGGATCTTAATGTAGATGGGCACCATGAAGGCAGAGATGTGGAGCACTCAGCTTCACTGACAAAGATGTGAGTTGTTTGAGGTGGCCAGTGACACATTGGTGGAAAATGACGGAATTAGGCAACTTTTTACGTGCCTGAGGGGTCCCCTCATTAATAGAGGAGCAGAAGAGAGCTAGTCTCTAAAACAGACATGGCTATGGCTGGATGCTAACATGTTTGTTTTTAAACATACTTTTGTTATATTACATTTGTGTTGTGTTTTCCAAATAATGTAGAAAATGGATGGTGGGTTTATAATGTTTACCTTTTATGAGCAGGACAGGAAGCAGAGAAGTGTAGCATTACCTCCAACTAGTTAAACTCATAATTATGAAGTTATTCAACAAATTCCTCAAGTAAAAAAGTGCAACTTTTATTTTTTATTTCTTTTTGTTGTTTTTTTTTACCAGATTTGTTGATTAATTTCAAAATTATGTATTCCTTCCAAATTTCCAAATCTGAAGAATTTTTTAAACCAATATCTACATTATTTAACATTTAGTTTATGTTTTAGCAGTACTTCCTGTTATATTTCTTTATACGTATATTTAAAATTTTCTTGCACAGCAAGCTCAGCAGATTTGAAATTGTGTGCTTGTGTAAACACTAGTCAATCTTTACTCTAAACATATATTCTGGTTATTTTTTAGTTAGACCTACTTGTTTTTATGTATCTGTATAAGTACCCCCCGAAAAAAAATAAAAACACTGTAAATTGATTAGAAATATTAATCATCTGTCAGATTTCTGAGAAAAAAGTGAGAATTCTGAGATTAAAGTCAGAATTCTGAGAAAAAAGTCAGAAGAAAAAAGTCAGAATTCTGAGAAAAGTCAGAATTCTGACTTTTTTCCCCATGTTAAACTAAAAAAAAAATGTAAAAATCAGTTAACTTTTTTTTTTTCAGTGGCCCTAATCCTCTTCCTACAAGACTAAGATGACTAAACCAAAAAGATTCAGTTTCTATATATGAAAGTGAACTAAAAACAAAACGTTATAAATGGGCAATATTCATAGCAGCATCCCGACAGACTATTATACCTCTTTCACAAGTTTCTGATTTCTGTGTCGCCGTTTCCCTCCCTGCTGACTGAGTGCTCAAACACTCAGCAGTTAAGAGAGGGGAGGGGGAGTACAGTGACGTAACGCTATGCTGCGCCTTCAAAATAAAAGCACGCTAGTTAAAAAAATGTCAAAATCTAATATTTTGCGGTACAATTTTTGGGGGGGACATATCCACCTGGCTTTTATATTGGGGGGGACATGTCCCCCCCGTCCCCCCCGCTTCCTACGCCGCTGCCCGCAGGTCCTTAAAAAGTCTTAAAAGGCCTTAATTGGTATTAAAATGTCTTAAATCAGTCTTTTGTAGGTCTTAATTTTTAAAACATCATAAATAGGATTATTTTTATTACGATTTATTTTTGTAATCTAAATAAAATGTTAAAATTGACAATTAAAAAAAAAAATAAAGTAACGGCTGGCCATTATTGTTTCCGTCCCGATAGCGGAACCAATAAAGCGTTGTTGCTGCCGGGACATTTGGGAGATGCACCATTAACTTTTTGTCTGGAAAATATGAGCAAGTGTAAACGTAACGAAAATTGTCTCCAGCCAAGAGTTTCCTCCATGGCTAAAACCAGGGAACATACATGAGGCTCAGTGGATTTATGCAAGAAGTCATTCAAGCTCAGAACGATGGGAATTAAGGCAGTGGAGTCGCACATGCGAAGCACGAAACACAAAGCGTCAAAATGGAGTTGCAGAGAAACAGCCGGTATTTCTCAGTTTAGTTCCACCCTTGTCTCTGCAACGCCTCCACTTATCACCAATTTAAACATACTCAAAAAACCATACAAAGAAAAATAGTTTTTCTTGTGTTTCTTGTGAATATGGTCTTAAATTTTTATTTCAAGTGGCATTAAAAAGTCTTTAGAAGTCTTGAATTTTACTTGCCTTATGCTGTGAGAACCCTGGATATGCCTCCAAATTGTAGGTGACCGCAGACAGGAGGCCTCTGATTGGTCAAATCTACATCCGCTCTACATTATGCGTATTTCCTGATTGGTTCCTAATGGCAGAAACAGTGCCCTCCACAACGCCAGGCACACCTCGGACACTATCCCAGACACCGTACAGGATGCTAGTTTGTAGCTCTGTGCGACGGTCTGTTGGTTTGCACCCGAAGCCAAAAGACTCAGCGCCACGGCCAGCCTTTGGGGAACACTCACGGGTGAACTGTGTGTCGTCCGGCGTTGGGTCAGGGGTTGTAGACGGCAAACAAGCTCGTCAAACCGACACACGGACACCCACAATCCTAGCTAGTTCATGATTATCCCTCCAGCGTTGTGGCGTGGAATAACATTGCGCAGACCACGCCTCAATATGGGACATAAATCAAAAATATACCTGCGACAAGCTAACTGACACACTGCTGCTGGAGTATACAGTTCCCGTAGCTCTTCTAAAACAGCCTGAGCCGCTGGAACAGAACCAGAAGCAAAAACTGCAGAGGTCCTGGTGTGAACGCTGAAACCAGTTCCCTGTTATAAGGCAATAGGCTCTCGTTAACATAGTGAAGATGTTTTGTTTTTATTAGATGTTTATAAGACACCAATAATGTAGACATATTTCTAATGAAAGCAGGAAAAGCAGTTCAGGTTTTGATGGTAACAGAAGCTGCGTTCCTCAACAGAGACAGGAGCTGGAATCGGAAAACAAGAAGCTAAAGAACGACCTGAACGACCTGAGGAAGACCATCTCTGAGCGAGCATCGCAGGACAGCTCGTCCAATGAGCTGCAGGACAGCTACAACCTGCTGCTCAGTCAGCTGAGGGCAGCCAACGAGGAGCTCGACGCCCGTAAGGAAGAGGTCCTTATCCTGAGGACGCAGATCGTGAGCAACGTCCAGCTGCAGGAGCAGAGCGAACGCATCGTGAGTCTTTATACTGACGCTGAAAACCAGACCCGGAAGATCGGATTTAAGGTTGAAAGGTTGAAACTATGAAAGCTCATTGGTAGAATTCCCTTATGACAGAAAGAAGGCCACGATTCACACCATTTTATCATCTGGAGGGGGGGAAACATTTAATTACAAAACCGAATTCATACAGCCGTCTGAAACCCTTCATACATTCAGCACTGCATCGTCACATTTCAGTTATTCCCCCGAAACTCTCATGACTTCTCAGTTGTTTTATAGTCTCAACATCGCATTACGTAACTGCAAAGCACAGGAATATCATGTCGAAAGATTACTGGAATTCACGTGTGCTGGCCGACGCCAGCGGTTGCTTTAAAACTCGGAGTGTTTATACAGATGTTCTCTGTTTATGCCAAAACCTCTTAATATATCATCTAATTGCGTACGAAAAAGGCATTAGGGACTGTATTATTGCTAAGACTCATACTTGACCTTCAGCATGTACTGTTTTGTTGCTAAGTAAGTATAGGGCCACGTGTAAGAATATATAAGGCAAAAAAACTGCTTCTACAAAACTTGGCAAGGCTTTCTTTTACAGTACATCAATAACCAAGTAATAACATAGCAAGTCGCACTATATTACTTGGTAATAGGAAAAACTTTATTTGGTATTTACCCCAAAATTAAGCTATGCAGGTAATTATTAGAGTTGTATGTTACTATGTAACAACCGATACTTTTGGTGGGTTATTACCATAAAGTTACCACATAACAGTTTCTATTATTGGCCATCGCCTACCAACGGCTTACAAAGTAAAAGTAACTTATCATCAGGTAAATAAAGCGTTATAAAACTGAACTAATGTTACATATAAATAAGAGTTTAGTTAAGAAGATTGGTTTGCTTTATTCTAGGTTTGGTTTACGGTTATATGCCAAGTATTAAACTGCATTTTACTAGATAATAACACATTATTTATGTCGGTGAAATTACTTATTTACCCGTAAATAACGGTTTGACATCTAAGAAGGCTGACTTTTAGCCTGGGTGCCATTCCAAACTTAGTCCCGCCCACAACGTTTGAGGTCGGGAAGTTCGGTCTGGCATTGCTCAATAGTAGCGCGAGTATGCTCGCACAATATCTGGCGGGACAATCAAATTGTCAGGGCGGGCTTTATACGATGATGGACAGATGATCAACAGTAACGTAATCAACCACGTGACCAAAGCGCGCTTGGGCGACAACAACAATGGCTGCCGCTGGAGAGTTGAGGTGAGTAGATTCTGCTATTAGGTCTGTTCTAGAAGATATCGACAGCAAATTAATTTTTTTCCAACACTTGCAAAAATCGTTCATGCTAATCTTCTTATTCTAGGCGTGCAACTGCACGCTTTGATTTTTGTTGACAACAACTATGCGTCGCTTAACATACGTCACGCACTCCGTTGCTCTTATTGGTTGTAGGTCTATCCAGTTGAGTGCAGAGGCATTTTTTTTCCTGGTTCGTTCGAAACACGCCCCATAATCACAGCTCTATGGAGCAGCATCAGACTCATTCTGACTAGAATTGAGTCGGACTACGTTAAGCTAGCTGACTTTACCCTGTCTACCAAAAATTTAAGGAACGGCACCAAAATTCTAACCTGACTCCGTCAGATGGATTTGCTCCGCCTATCCATCTGGAAACCTTCCGTTGAAGTAATTTTGGGAAGGGGCGAAAATACTGGTTAGCTGATTGGACTATGTTGGTGATAGACGGGCCAAATAAACCAATCAGATCAACGAAGCATATGACGTACTAACAGAGCGACGACGAAGAGGAGCCAATTGATAGATCAAACTCTTGCCGAAACCAGTCGGGAGAAGAGCAAAAACATCTTTTCCTCTGAGAAAAGCCTCCAGAGCAGTGTTTTGCTCTTCTTTCAGTGAAGAAATACTCTGTAATTCCGATAAAACTCGCTCGATAGCCACGCTAACGCTAGTTTCATCGGCTGAAGCCGCCATGTTCTTAAGACCGAACTGTCGCGCTTCTCGTTGCGTCACACCTCAACCCGCCTCAAAGCCAACGCTGATTGGACGTTCGTTTGGTGAACGGCTCCAAATTTTCCTTGACGGAGAGTCTCCAGACTGATCTGCGAGTGATCAGGATCAGGATGGCTACCAAAATTCTCCCTAAAGTGTTTCTTGTTAGCTAATAATATAGTGTAACTTGCTATGTTATTACCTGGTTATTGATGTACTGTAAAAGACAGCGTTACCTGAAACTTTAGATAAATGGGATCATCATCTGCGTAGAAGTTTATGCTGAACATTAACCTTTAAAGAAAAAGGAAAAAATATGTTTTCAGTGACATATATCAGTTTATCTTCGGGTTTCATGTTTAGCTGTGGATGTTCTTACTTCTTCCTGAAAGGTTCATTAATTATTTCTGAAAGCTGATGAAGGAACCTGTTTTTCCGAAGCTGCAGCTCAGGAAGGAAGGACTTAAATGTCGTTTTCATGTTCTGTAACCGATCTTCTGCTCCCTCACAGGAAAGTGAGGTTGATGGAGGACTGAACAACAGCAAAGAGCCAATGGACAAAGAGGAGGCCCTCAAAGCGTACCATGGACTGTGTGAGTCCAAGAAGTAAGTCCATGTCCTGCTGGAGACCAAGAACCTTTGCTGATATATTCCAGGCAGCAGAAACTAATGATCTGATCCTTGATGCTAAAGGTCAGAGTGATGGAAGGAGGTGCTAATGGCTCATAATATCACCTTGGTTACAGCAGCTTTTGTCTCCGTCTGTCTTCTCCTGTCCGCTGCTCAGTCCTGCTTGTTTTTCTTCTCTGCTTAATAAAAACGGTCTGGATGCCTTAATAGGAGTAAATAACCTCAGTGTTAAGAGATCTACTTTTATTATTTACCATCTTTATTTTCATTCCTTTAGGGCCCTGTCACACCTTGCCAAATTAGGCAGCGTATGCCTGACGTCCCAGAATACCCTAAAACGCTGGCATACGCTGAACTTTCTATGTATTTTTTCAATTTTAGGCACATAGATAGAGAATTTAGAATTAATACAGAGCTTATGTCCAACGACAGGATCATGTCTGCTAGGAAGGTCGCTGACCTTGGGCGTGAACGCAGGGAGGATCCATCACTCACCTTCTGGCTCACCCTATGATGGGGATGAAGTCTGGAGGAGAACTGACGCTTTCCTCCTGTGAACCCCCTTTATACCAAAACGCTGCCAAAACGCCATTATACAGTAGCTGGAAGGTAGAAACACGTTCAGCACTCGTCTGGAACACGTCAGATACGCTGATATGCGTTGGAGAGAACTTCTTGATAAGTTACGCAGAAGTTACTAAAAATTATCTAGAAATGAGTAAAATATTCTTTGATGAATTGTATTTACCCTTGATTTGAGCAGAATGTTATAGAGCTAAACTGTCACGTGTTGGTTGGTGATTGTGGACCCAAATGCAGAGGCAGGGAGGCAGAGGTGAGTTCTTGCAGATTTAATCAAAGGAAACAGTTTAACAAACGCAGGAATCCAAAAATCCAACTAAAAATGTAAAGCAAACCAGAACCATGAAGACATCAGGGGAAACCAAACACAACACTGGAAAAACGATCTAGAAATAAGTAAAATTTTCTTAAATTAAATGTATTTACCCTTCATTTCAGTAGGTAAATGAGGTCGTTTGTCAATAGAATGACTATTTTTACTCCTAAAATAAGATAATTAGATAATATGCACTTGAAATAAGACAATGCAATTGTTGTTTCTTATTTTAAATCATTGGCGAAACGTCTCTAATCTCCTCAATTCAATAACAAATGCACTTATTTTAAGAAAACATGAATTCTCTAGATTTTGATTTTTTATCCCTTTAGTCATGTCCCAAAAAACAGATCGCCATACGCTTCAAAAACATTAAAAAATAGCTTTTTGTACGTGACTAAAGGGAAACACGCCCGTTTAGTGAGTGTGACGTTTTTTTTCCATACAAAACTAAAGGGATAAACTGGTTTTGATTATGGGAATGCTGGTGTAACACATCAGGAGCCCCGTTGGTTAAATGTTCTGATCCGATCGGCTCTGCTTGGTTCTTTTCTAACATGTCTGAGTTTGTTGCTGCATTAACTGCATGTTAGCATCTGTGCTTCTGCTTGTGTCCTCACTCTGCTCTGCTCTCCTGTGTCTGTCCCCCCCCCCCGCTGCTGCTGCTGGACACCAGTAACCTGCAGGACTGGTGTCTGCTGAACGAGGACGGGGAGCTGGGTCTGGCCTACCAGGGTCTGAAACAAGTAGCCAGGTCTCTGTGTGCTCCGTAGAGTAGAGATCTGCGTGGTGTGAAGAACCTCTGGGTCCGGTTCTGATGTCTGGGATGAAACCAGAACCCGAGCTGGTCCTGACCGACTGTTTCTCCGGGTATAACCGGCCTCTGTTCTCCTCCAGGCTCCTGGAGGCCCAGCTGCAGACCCAGACCCGGCAGCACCGGGACGAGCTGGAGGCTCTGCACACCCAGATCGAGCTGCTGAAGGACGACATCGAGAAAAAGCAGGAGCTCCTCAACTACACCTCGTCTCTGTCCCCGGAGGCCAAGGTGGAGTACAGCGTCCAGCAGGAGATCACTCGGCTCACCAACGATAACCTGGTGAGGAACTCGGACCTGCTGGAACTCCAGAACCGCTTCCTGTGTCACCTTCCTCATCCTGAACACTCTGTCCACCCGTAGGACCTCAAGGAGCTGGTGGAGAAACTGGAGAAGAACGAGAGGAAGCTAAAGAAGCAGCTGAGGATCTACATGAAGAAGGTCCAGGAGCTGGCAGGTAGGAGGTTCCTCCGAACCAGAACCTTTTTTCCTCTGGGTCTCTTTGGGTCTGATGACCGTTTAGGTTCTCTTGGACGTCCAGACGTCCTCACCCGGACCTGGAACCGAGCCGCATGTCGGTTCTTCACCCGTTCTGGTGGATCAGTAGATGATTTCAGATCCTGACGTAGTTCCTGGTTCTGGTTCTGTTCCAGCAGCTCAGGCTGCGGCTCAGAGCGGCAGCAGCAAGGGGGAGCTGACCCGGCAGGTGACCCTGCAGAGGAAGGAGAAGGACTTTGAGGGGATGCTGGAGTACATGAAGGAGGACGAGGTGCTGCTCATCAAGACGCTCATCACAGGTGAGACCCTGACTGGACTTCCTGCTTCCGACTCCAACCAGGATCCAGTGAGGTTTCAGAACCGCCTCGCAGTGGGAACTGGACCCGTTTGTAGAGCTAAAAGCCGAACCGGAGGATCTTCTGACCTTCAGTTTTTTCGTCCCCAGACATCCGGCCCAGCTCGGTGGCGGCCACCGTCCCCTGCCTGCCCGCCTACATCCTCTTCATGTGCATCCGCCACGCCGACTACGTCAACGACGACCAGAAGGTGGAGTCTCTGCTCACCTCCACCATCAACGCCATCAAGAAGGTCCTGAAGGTGCGTTCTGCTCCCCCCCGCCTCCCGTCTAACGAAGGCTGAGGCCTGTTATTCTTATAGACGATTGACAGGCGTAGCTCCCTTTGATTGACGTTGCTTTCAATGCCTAAAGAGTGAAACTACAAATAAAGATTAAAAAAATCATGATTTAGAATCCAACAGTAGTCAAATCATTAAAATAGTGCGGGCAAAAATACTTAATACTGTGTAAAAAACATCAGTCTTGTGTCAGAATTAATAAAATAACACAAAATACTTTTAAGCAGGGCTTTCTATAAACAATAAAACAGGATAACGGAGGATCCACGTGTTTCTAAACTCAAATCTACTGTTCAATAACAAACTTAACATGAAAACAGCACCACCTGCTGGCTGGAAAGAGCTACTGTCAGCACACACTAACGATGTTCTGATGGTTCCGCAGAGAAACAACGACGACTTTGAGATGATGTCCTTCTGGTTGGCCAACAGCAGCCGGCTGCTGCACTGCCTGAAGCAGTACAGCGGGGAGGAGGTGAGCTCCGCCGCCTGAGGAACATCTGGAACATCTGCCTCCCCCCACCCCTCTCTGAGCTCCTCTCTGCTCCTCTTCCTCAGGCCTTCATGACGCAGAACACGCCCAAACAGAACGAGCACTGCCTGAAGAACTTCGACCTGGCCGAGTACCGGCAGGTCCTGAGCGACCTCTCCATCCAGATCTACCAGCAGCTCATCAAGGTGGCCGAGGGCATCATCCAGCCCATGATCGGTGAGTCCAGCTCTTCTCCTCCTGTTCTCCATCAAAACATCTGGATCTGGGTGGTTCTGACCAGAACCAGATCATCCTGAGTCCAGATCAGGTTTACCTTCATTTAATCAGATGCTGATGAGGGGAGACCAGCAGGGGGCGATGTGGAGTCTCTGTGGTCCGACGGTTCATGATCATAACATCCCTCAGAACCTCGTGATCCCAATCAATCTGCTGAAACACAATATTTAAACTATTTAAAAACAGTAGCTAGATGTCATCGGCATGTAGATGATTTTTCTGGGTTTTATAAATAAAGTGGATAATATTAGGACTGGGTCCAGAACTGAACGTCATGCAGAGGAAAAACAGAAGATCTGAAAGATAAAAAGGAACAAACTGGTTGTTGAGGGAGCTGTTCACACCAGACACGCTTTGGGCAGCAGAAGCAGCCGCTTTACATGCAAAGTCAATGATTTACGCGCATCAAGGCGCATCCAAAGGTCTAGAGCAGCTGAAGCTGCGCCTCATGAACTTCTTAGCATCTTCAGAATCCAGCTCTGCAGGACTTTGCTGTAACATTATTATGAAAAAGTTCTTTCTTCTACTATAAAGCATAGATCTAGATGCTAGCTGCAGCTCTCTGTTCCCTTCTGTGCGACAGCATGCCCACTTTAATCGTATTACTGTCACCTAAGGGAGAAATTAAGTGTCTTGTTAAATGTATTGTGACTAAAATTGAGAACCTCTAAGATTTGAATTGCACACGCAATTAATTGCCCAGCCTTAAAGAGCGCCATGCTAGCCTGAGCTAACTCAGAGAAGCTGAAGCTAGCTAAGTTTCACCGCAAATAATACCGACCGCCGAGTCACTAAGTATCAGTAATTTTCCTCCTGAGGGTCAATAACTTGTACAGCAGCCCCAAAAAATAAAAAAAAACCATGAGGAGGAAAACCAAGGCTAGGAGGCACCTGCAGCAACAGGTGGGGGAGGGGAAGCACTGATTTACTGTATGCTGTACAAACCTAGGAAAACCTCTGGCTCTTTATCTGATTCTCAGCAAACTTGAAGTGTTCTGATGGTTCCTCTCAGCGTTCTTTAAATGCCGACTTTTAGCTAGCAGTGCGTACCGGCGTACATCGTACGCTCTTTACTATAAATATTAGAGATCGTGCGCTCTGTTTTTTGGATGTGAGACTTTGGTACGCCCTAATTTTTCCCCAGAAGCATTGCTAATAGGTTCAAAAAATTCACAAGCAGCAGATCCTGGAGAAAAATTTTATTTTTGCTGCTGAACGCACCGCATCAACCAATGAGAGAAGCTGATCTGGGAGCTGGCAGGGAGTCAGACGCAGCACTGCTGATGCAGAGCGCTATGATCACTCCTCTGAAACAGTTTATTAACGCCTAAATTAACTTCAAATGTAGAAACCTGCGGGATAACATGTTCAGTTTGTAGCACAGACCTTAAATAACGCTAACATCTACTTCCAGCCGCCACCAACAGGAGGGGAAAACCCCCAAGAGGCGAGCGGGCCTGAGGCAGCTGCTGCTGGGGATTCCCAGTGACAGCGCAGCGCCGGTATGTGGGGGTCTGAGCGGCTCCCACAGAGAAATAATCTTTGAAGGCAGGATGGTAATCTTACGGAAGAGGATTAGAGCCACTGGGAAAAAAAAAAAAAAAAAAAAAAACAGGTTAACTGATTTTTAAATTTTATTTCAGTTTAGTTTGGGAAAAAAGTCAGAATTCTGACTTTAATCTCAGAATTCTGACAGCTAACAATCGTGTTAGCATCAAGCCATAGCCATGTCTGTTTTAGAGACTAGCTCTCTTGTTTTAATGACCTTCTGCTCCTCCATTAATGAGGGGACCCCTCGGGCACGTAAAAAGTTGCCTAATTCCGTCATTTTCCACCAATGTGTCAGTGGCCCTCTCAAACAACTCACATCTTTGTCAGTGAAGCTGAGTGCTCCATATCTCTTCCTTCATGGTGCCCATCTACATTAAGATCCACAATTCTGAGATTAAAGTCAGAATTCTGAGATTAACGTCGGAATTCTGAGATTAACGTCAGAATTCTGAGATTAAAGTCGGAATTCTGAGAAAAAAGTCAGAATTCTGAGAAAAAGTCAGAATTCTGAGAAAAAGTCAGAATTCTGAGATTAAAGTCGGAATTCTGAGATTAAAGTCAGAATTCTGAGATTAAAAGTCGGAATTCTGAGATTAAAGTCAGGATTCTGAGATTAAAGTCGGAATTCTGAGATTAAAGTCAGAATTCTGAGATTAAAAATCAGAATTCTGAGATTAAAAGTCAGAATTCTGAGATTAAAAGTCGGAATTCTGAGATTAAAGTCGGAATTCTGAGATTAAAGTCAGAATTCTGAGATTAGTCAGAATTCTGAGATTAAAGTCGGAATTCTGAGATTAAAGTCAGAATTCTGAGATTAAAAGTCAGAATTCTGAGATTAAAAGTCGGAATTCTGAGATTAAAGTCAGAATTCTGAGATTAAAGTCGGAATTCTGAGATTAAAAGTCGGAATTCTGAGATTAAAAGTCGGAATTCTGAGATTAAAAGTCGGAAGTCTGAGATTAAAAGTCGGAAGTCTGAGATTAAAAGTCGGAATTCTGAGATTAAAAGTCGGAATTCTGAGATTAAAAGTCGGAATTCTGAGATTAAAAGTCAGAATTCTGAGATTAAAAGTCAGAATTCTGAGATTAAAAGTCAGAATTCTGAGATTAAAAGACGGAGTTCTGAGATTAAAGTCAGAACTCTGAGAAAAAAGTCAGAATTCTGAGAAAAAAGTTAGAATTCTGACTTTTTTCCCCATACTATACTGAAATAAAATTAAAAAATCAGTTAACTTTTTGTTTTTTTTGTCTGTGGCCCTAATCCTCTTCCGTATAATCTGGATGAACTGACTGCACAGACCATGTTTTCAGGAGGACTTTCTCACTTCAACATAAATTCTAACTACTTTTTACCCGCTGATCACAGCTAATATAGCAAAGCTGCTCTCTGGCATTGAACACAGGAGCAGCAGAAGCATCTGGACTCACTTTCCTGGACGTCTGACCTAAATGTTGACGAGCATCAGAAATGAAGCAGCGGAACCTTTTTTGCTGCTGAAGTCGTGTTTGATGTGAACGTAGCATCAGGAGTCCAGTTTAGCGTCCAGTTTAGCGTCGGTCCTTTTGTTTTCAGTTTGTTTTCTATCTGAACCCATGTGATCGGTTTTGCACTCAGAGTTTAACAGACAGAACTCTTTCTGTATCTAAAGGTTCAAACTAACCCCACCCCCCCATGTCTCTTAGTGTCGGCCATGTTGGAGAGCGAGAGCATCCCCAGCCTGGCAGGAGTCAAGCCCATGGGCTACCGGAACCGCTCGTCCAGCATGGACACGGACGCGGACGGGCCGACCACCTACACCCTGCAGGGTCTGATCCGGCAGCTCAGCCAGTTCAACAGCATCATGAGGGACCAGGGTCTGGACCCGGAGATCGTGGGCCAGGTGTTCCGGCAGCTCTTCCACTGCATCAACGCCGTCACCCTCAACAACCTGCTGCTGCGCAAAGACGTCTGCTCCTGGAGCGCCGGCATGCAGCTCAGGTACCGGACCGGAGCCGCTCTGTAGCTCTGACCCGTCTGGATCCTTTAGAAACAGAACCTGTTCATGATGAGACATTCACAGAGCTCTGAGGGTTTAGGTTGGATGGACGAACCCTGGAGGTTCTGGTCCAACTGGTGGAACACTGATAGAACCTAAGTGAAGAGAGAAGCATCTGACGGCTGCCCCCTGTCTGTGTCTGCAGGTATAACACCAGTCAGCTGGAGGAGTGGCTGCGAGCGAACAACCTGTTCCAGAGCAAAGCTTCTGCCACGCTGGAGCCCATCATCCAGGCGGCTCAACTGCTGCAGGTCAAGAAGAAGACTTCCCAGGACGCTGAGGCCATCTGCTCACTGTGCACCGCGCTCACCGTGCAACAGGTCAGTACAGCATCACAACATGCAGAGCTGCTGGAAGTACTGTAGAAACTGGACAGAAGACCCATGAGCCTATAGGCCCATTTAAAATACAATTCAATAAGTAAATAGATTGGCTCTGTCATATATGGAGGATAAAAAGTGCCAAAATTAAATAAATAAATACAGCGATAAACAATTAAATGTGTAATTCATTAAATAAATAAGGAATTAAATATATAAATGTGTCATTAATTTAATAAAATACGTCTTCATTTTATTAAAAAATATAATTATTTCAGTGTGCATTTATTTCATGGTCCTGTGTCGCAGTGGATAGAAATAATTATATATATTTTTTTAATAAAATGAAGACGTATTTTGTTAAATTAATGACACATTTATATATTTAATTCCTTATTTATTTAATGAATTACACATTTAATTATTTATTTAATGCTGTATTTATTTATTTAATTTTGGCACTTTTTATCCTCCATAGTAACACAGACAGCATCAGTTCTGAGATGAAAATATGCACTATTATTTAAACTTCACAATCACACTATAACAACATAGATTTGGTTAGATGGCATCAACCTTAGTCACTTTGTTATTGTCACACGTGACTCTATTAGCTCCAAAATCCTTTTACCAAACCACAAGGAAATAATGAAATTATTATTCCATTTAAATGTAATTTAACAGTTCTCCATTACACAGAGAACCTAAGATCAAAATAACAATCTAAAATACTATGGTTACGTTAAACTGCCCGATTCGATATGAAAGTGCGCGGCGGCGCCATGCTCTAACTTTGAGCTACAGGCCGGGCGCCCTGCATGGTTACAGGTGTCCAAATGTTCAGGTGAGCTCTGAGGTCGTGGAGATAAAGTCTCTCATTAGCGGATGAATCTAGATGTGTTTCTGTTCCATATTTTCTCCTGGTTTCTGTCATTAAACTATGTTCATTTACAGGGCTGGGTAAAAAAAAAATCGATTTAATCGATTTTGAATCGATTCCTTTACGTTTTTGCAAAATCGATGTCCAGGTCTCGAATGAGATCGATTCATTTTATAGTGACGCGCGTGACGTTCACATTCAAATGAACAGGAAAGATGCACCCAAGCTTACCTCAAGCAAGACGGCTGCAAATATAGCCAATAGGCTGACTGAAGACATTATGTCTTCAACTACACCCTGCAGTTGTTACAGAAAACGCTGCAAATATGGTTTTTGCAGTGAAGATAATGCAGCTCATGAATGTCTGCTGTGTCACGTCCGCTTGCTCGAGTGAGGCTTCACTTTTTCACTTTTCTCAAACAAGTTTGCACTTATGAGACAGTTTTGGTCACATCTGAGGTTTAAACTGTCTGATTTACAAGTTTGCACTTTGTGTTTAATGTGGGAGGAAAAAACAAAAGACGAGTATTTTGAAACACAGTTGAACCACTTTAATTATTGTAAAAACAGATTGAATCGAAATTAATCGATTTAGAACTTTATTAATCAAAATCGAATCAATTCAGGACTTTGGCGAAAATATCCAGCCCTATTCATTTACTAGTCTGCTGCCGGGAGCGTGATGCCACGCCCTAGCTTTCTGGACATCGCCATGACAACGTAACTTCCATGAATTTGTGATGATTAGGCCTCAAAATAATTTAATTAAAATTCAAATACACGTAATAGGAAAGTAAAAAAGGCTTAATCATTTACTTGTGCGTTCTCATGTGCTTGTGAAACGTCATCAACCTCAACTGTTCCAATTCACAAGAACAGAAGACCCAGAATGAAGTCCCCGGATGTTGTTCTGGCCCCTCCCTCTTTACCCAGCATGCATCAGAGCAGACTTGTCAGTCCTCCAGACTGACAGCTGTCCCAGCATGCACTGCGGCAGCATAATGACCAGTAGTGTTATTTTTTTTTAACATACTATAAGGGTTAAGTGCCAGAAGCGAAAGAAAACAAAAAAATAAATTCTGAAAATAATTGAAGTGAAATAGGAAAAAATGAAACATAAAATTGTTTTATTTTTTGTCTCTTTGTCTTTTTATCAGAACTGGACTGAACGCCTGAATAAAGCAGATTTAATCTGAGTTAAAATAAGATAAAACATAAAATTAGGACTAAGAACAGAACCATGGACAGCTCCACGCTCTGGCCTCAGCTGATTCTATTAAAGTAAAACCTTTAATTAATGTCAGAACCTGAACCTCTGAAGATTTGGGTTCTTTATGAACCTGAAGAGAAGGACAGAACCGGACCGTTTGGGTCACAGTTTCCTCTGCAGGCCTTCAGCAGAACCTAATGTTTATTTTACATCTAAACTTAAACTGTGAAATAACTGCTTGGATTCGGCATAAGGCAGAACCTTCTGGTTTCCAGTGGGACGACACCAACAGGTTTTTGTTTAGCAGTTCAGATGCTTACGTTGTCAGAGAGGCAGAAAGGGGCGGAGCCATTATGGAGGAGAAGGAAAAAAAAATCTGATTTAGTCCTAAAGAAACACATGGGTCCAGTTTTTCTCAGTAGTAACAATGTTTTTCAGCCCTGAATGGAACCGCCTGAGAACCTGAACCCAGAAGCAGGTTTTCATCTCTTCCTGTTTGACTTTTGCAGATCGTGAAGATCCTGAACCTCTACACGCCTCTGAATGAGTTTGAGGAGCGCGTCACCGTGTCCTTCATCAGGAACATTCAGGTCAGTCCCTCACCGGTTCCACTTGAACACCCAGGTCCGGTCCAGGTGAAGCAGGAACCTCAGAGTTTAGGAGGAACCAACTCCAATAGAAACTTCTGGAAAACAGAAGAACTACAGGCTGATGGAGATGGTTTAGGGTCTTAGAAGAACTCAGATGAAGATCTGAAGTTCTGAAGATGCTTCAGAGGGCTTAACTGGAACCGACCCATGAGGATCCACCGGCCCAGTCAACTGTTGGCTCCTCAGGAGGCAGACCACTCAGGTTCTGCTTGAGGGACGGAGCCGAAATGGATGGAAGGAGCAGCTGAAGGAACCTGCTGAAGATCCGTTCACTGAGCAGAGGACCATCTAACCTGCAGGTCCAGCTGGGTTCTGATCCGTTTTCTCTCAACGTCTCTGATCTCCTGAAGGTCCTGCTGGGACCAGGTCTGCACAGAACCAGCCTGGATCTCTGCTGCCAGACAGGATCTGATCTCCAGACCAACACAGAAGGAAACATCTGATCAGTGTGGATGGTTTACCTCCAGTTTTACTCATCCTGCAGTCCTAGGAGTCAGAACCTGAACCGGGTTCAGAACCTGGTCCAGCTCTTCTAACTTCTCCAATAAAGTCAGACGCCATGTTTTTCTATTTAAGTTTCTGTCGTCTTTAGATGGATGTTTTAAAGATACGACTGAATAGTCGTTCAAAAAAGTTAATAAACAATCCACTGGACTTTGTTTCCAAGTTTGAAGACGTTTCGCTTCCCATCCAGGAAGCTTTTTCAATTCAAAATGTTGGAAATAACGTTAAGTTTGAGTTTGATTTCTCAGTTTGTGTTTTGTAATTATGTATTATTACCAATGTTTTATTGTGAATTAATGTTATGATGGCTTCAGCCTGTTCCTTTTTTTGCTGTCTGATGGATTCTTTTATAAAAAAAAATTATTTTGTTTAATTTTTTTAAACCGAAATAAAGTAAACTAGGGATGCAGGATATTGGGATTTTGGCCGATATCCGATATGCCGATATTTTAAAACTCATGTAGCCGATAACCGATATCGATACCGATGTTAAAGCTGGACAAAAATAAGTAGTCATTGAAAATAGCAGTTTTGTTATCCATTTCTGACACTTTGAAAAATAATATACTCTAATATATTTTCATATGCTGATATCAAATAGATTTTTAAAAACGCGGTATCGATCTATTTTACTTTCAAAATCTGGTGAAATTTCATCGTTCTGTTACAAACTCTCGTGATATTTTGCAAATTCTTGTGATATTTTGTTAGTAAAATAGATCGATACCGCGTCAATATATCAACATATAAAAATATGGCAACATTTGGTGAATTTTCGGGGGATTTCGTAGCATAACGATGACGTATAGCAATATTTCATTAGTAAAAGAGATTGATATGGTGTTTTTAAATGGCAATATATCAGCATATGAAGATATTGGGATATTTTAATGGATCAATATTTTTTCCCTCGTCTTTAGAAGTTTTTAAGTCTGTAAAAAAGAAGTTTTTGAGGAAGAAGAAGAAGTTGTATTTTTATTAGACTTTAGAAACTCAGAAGCTGATCAAATATCGGGTTAAATATCGGTGGGGTGGCCGATGTCCCATATTCAGTTCTAAGGCCGATACCGATAGGGGGCCGATTATATCGTGCATCCCTAAAGTAATAATTCATTCATTCATTCATTCAAAAGCTTCCTGGATGGGAAGCGAAATGTCTTCAAACTTGGAAACAAAGTCCAGTGGATTGTTTTGAACTTTTCTGGAGCAACGACTGAGACTTAAAACTAAGACTTTTATTTTAAAAACGAGAATCAAGCTGTTTATATTTTAGTCAAAAAGTAGTTTTAATAGTTAGTTTGACCTCAGTGGTAAAACTGATCTTTCTCCGCAGAGTTGACATTAAAATAGGCGACTTCTTTAACCGCGCTACAAAAAGATGCTCGCCGTACAATATTATATTTGAAATGTTATTTCAATTAATTTACTGATATTATAATTTTATTCTCATATTGTCGTGACTCTGATCTGATAATATAACTTTTTTCAAAATGTTACATCTTTATTTTCACAGTGTTTTAACTTTATTTCTGTATTGTTAAGATCTCTCAAACTTTTACTTCAATCTCATAATGACAGGACTTTATTTCAAGATTTTACTAATTTATTTAGTTACAATTTTGATATCGCAACGTTAAAATTGTATTCTTGTTTACCTAATTTTCTTTTTTTTTTTTTATCCCACCGTTTTCCGCATTTACAAAATGTTTTTGTGTTAGCAGGGCAGGACATAAAACTATTGTGCTAACGTAACTAAATGTGATTAAATGCCAAAAGTGGCTGCATTAGCTGAACGTGAGTTCTGCCCTCTAGTGGCAGCTCTGCAGATTGCAGCGCCGTCTGACTTTTCTCCTCCTGCTGTGTTTCTGCAGAGTAACCTCCAGGAGAGGAACGACCCTCCCCAGCTCCTGATGGACACCAAGCACACTTTCCCCGTCCTCTTCCCCTACGCCCCCTCTGCTCTGAACCTGGAGACCATGCACATCCCCGCCTCGCTCGGCCTGGACTTCCTCATCAGGGTGTGACGTTTCCCGGAGCTCCACAGACTGACTTGACCCAAACCGTCGCTTCCTTCCTTCCTTTCCTCCCAGATGTTCCTCAGCATCCAGAACATCGCTGCATCTGATCCTCCATTAGCTTAGAGCGGTTAATGTCTGAGGCTAGAGGAAGAGGAGGGTGAAGGTCGGCGATGAGCTGCAGACCGGAGTCGGAACCGGGAGAGGAGGAGCAGCTGGACAGACGTTGGATCGCTGAGTTTTTTTAAAGCAGAACCACGTGGATCAGAACCGGTAGTGACAGCAGGAACCTTTTAACCAATCAGAGCTCTAGGTTCTCCGTAATCAAGACCAAGAATTTATTTTAAAACTCCCCGTCTTTCTCCGTCTGACGGCTTTTATCTTCAGCTTTTATTTTGACAGTCTCTGGCTTTCTTCCTGTGTGATTTCTGCTCTTTGTGGCATTGCTGATGTATAAAATATTTAAATCAAGTGTTGGTTCCTATGAGCCTGAGCAGCGGCTGCGTCTTCTCCAGGTCCGAGCGCTCATGCGGTTCTGAAAAAAAAAAGATTTCTCTGTCAGAGCTTTAATATTTTTCTGTGTAAAAAAGGTCTTAGAGTTTTTTCCTGAAGTTCTTAGAGGAGATGGTTCAGAAAAGAAGTTTGGTTTGTTTTTAGCAGATAAATCTGATTTATAGGAAACTGATTTCTTCCTGGAATCACTGGGATCGTCTCCAGTTCTGGATCTCCATCCCATAATAGTTTCTGTCACATATACTGTCCTCCCAGACTGCCCGCCGTCGGACTCGTTTAGGTTCTGAAGCCAAATCTGGATTTATTACAGAATAATAAAGAAATTTGAACCGACAACCATCTACCGTTTTCTCTGGGTCTTGCGATCCGATCAGGTAAGGTGGGAACGGTTCCCGATAAATATCGGATTTGGGTCCAGAGGTTCTGCCTCAGCAAGGAATAATCAATGGATCATTATTTATACCTAAAACTAAAACGTTTGCGGTGATTTAAAGGAATAGTACACCCAAAACATGATTAGCCTTCATTTTCTACTCACCCCCATGCTGAACAACACTCTGGAGTACTTTTTTGATATCTCAAATGCATCTGGAGATCTGGGAGGCTTCTTGCTGTCTGCTGACATTCAAATAATGGAGGTCTATGGCGCCCGAGGCAGAAAGGTCCATAAAAGTCCACAAAAAACGTGTCAATATTCCTCCATACTGCTCGTCCAATGTATTCCAAGTGTCCTGAGTGGGTAGCATCCAGAATTTACTCGAAACGAAGTCATTTAGAATGTTTTTAGAGCCTAAACAGTAGTGTATAGGATTTCCTGAAAGCGCGTTCACGAGTCTACGGAAACCGGCAGACCAAACCAGATGAAAGTGCGCATTCAGCTCGGCAAAGAACTCATGCTCTTCCTCAACACTGAAGTCCTCAGACATTTTTCTTTCGTTGTTTCTTTCTTTGCACAGGTAAACGGCACATTTCTTCTTCTACGCTTGCATTATCGGCAGAGCAGACGCTGAATGCGCACTTTCATCTGGTTTGGTCTGCCGGCTTCCGTAGCGTCGTGAACGCGCTTTTAGGAAATCCTATACACTACTGTTTATGCTCTAAAAACATTCTAAATGACTTCGTTTCGAGTAAATTCTGGACGCTACCCACTCAGGACACTTGGAATACATTGGACGAGCAGTATGGAGGAATATTGACACGTTTTTTGTGGACTTTTATGGACCTTTCTGCCTCGGGCGCCATAGACCTTTAATTATTAAATGGTTAAAAAAGGGAAAAGAGTCAAAATTATGCTTTTACATCTTAGAGCTCTTTAGCATCAAAGTTTATGTTTTAGTTTATTTTCAGAGCTGCAGGATCAAAGTTAGAAAATGTTTCTGAGGTCTTGATGCTCGTTCTTAGATTTAAGTTACTGTCAGTTATTCGTGATTGTTTCCTTTTCTTTACAGTTTTTCAATTTTAAGTTTTTTTTTTTCTTACATTATCAATTCCTGCTCGATTATTTTAATAACTTCTAGTTTTAGTTTTTTTTTTGATGCAGTGTTAGTTTAATGGTTTTTTTCCCCATCTTTTTCTTCTGTGATGAAGAGGAAACTGTTTTGTTTTCTGCCTTTGAAACCTGTGGAGCTCCTCCTCCTCCACTCAGACATCAGCCAACCACCTGAGAGCCGCTCAGACGCAGCAGCTGGACCCTCAGCACGCCGTCTGTTGGCCCAGCTCTGTGAACCAGGAACCCAGATGATTCCCACAGCAGCCTGCAGGCAGTTGGAGCAGCTGTAACCCGCTGTGGGAGACCGTCTGTGGTTTACCTGTCGCTCAGGTGCCGCCCAGTTTCCTCAGCAGAACCCGTGGATCATCAGAGCGGCTTCTATCCGTGAACAATAACAATCGGTGTAGTGAAATTAAAGCTCAGATAGAACCGATGAGAGAAGCTGAAGTTTTATTCTGACCCACAGAGTGATGCAGATCCATCAATGTTCATTTCTTTAAGCCCAAAAGCTAAAAGTCCATTTTGGTTCAAGGATTCTGAATTATTGACAGGTTAAGATCAAGTCTTTCCTCTCATTGACTGTCACTGGTATCCATGGTAACGTGTATATATAAACTACTCATTACCATAAATATGAACCAAACTCTAATTGAAGTTCAGCTAGTTAAAGGTCCTTGTAGAGGGTCAGTTTCTCAAACTTTTCACAACCCTAAAAAAGAAAGAGTTAAGCAAATAATCTTAGTTACCGTGTCAAAAGATAAAATACAGAGAGGGGATAAAGTTAGAGATTGAACTAACAGATTCTGCAGAGTGGGAGAATAGAGATAGAATGAAGCAGAATGATGAAAAAGGGGTCCCTATGTCCTCCAGCAGTCTAAGCCTATAGCAGCAGAACTATAGAGATACAGGTGCTGGTCATAAAATTAGAATATCATGAAAAAGTAGATTGATTTCAGTAATTCCATTTAAAAAGTGAAACTTGTATATTATATTCATACATTACATACAAACTCATATATTTCAGATGTTTATTTTGTTTAATTTTGATGATTACAAATGACAACAAATGAAAATCTCAAATTCATCATATCAGAAAATTAGAATATTGTGAAAAGGTTCAAAATTGATGGCCCCTGGTGCCACACTCTAATCAGCTAATTAACTCAAACCACCTGCAAAAGCCTTTAAATGGTCTTTCAGTCTAGTTCTATAGGCTACACAATCATGGGGAAGACTGCTGACTTGACAGTTGTCCAAAAGACGACCATCGACACCTTGCACAAGGAGGGCAAGACACAAAAGGTCATCGCTAAAGAGGCTGGCTGTTCACAGAGCTCAGTGTCCAAGCACATTAATAGAGAGGCGAAGGGAAGGAAAAGATGTGGTCGAAAAAAGTGTACAAGCAAGAGAGATAACCGCACCCTGGAGAGGATTGTGAAACAAAACCCCTTCAAAAATGTGGGGGAGATTCACAAAGAGTGGACTGCAGCTGGAGTGAGTGCTTCAAGAACCACCACACACAGACGTATGAAAGACATGGGTTTCTGCTGTCGCATTCCTTGTGTCAAGCCACTCTTGAACCACAGACAGCGTCAGAAGCGTCTTGCCTGGGCTAAAGAGAAACAGGACTGGACTGCTGGTGAGTGGTCCAAAGTCATGTTCTCTGATGAAAGTAAATTTTGCATTTCCTTTGGAAATCAAGGTCCCAGAGTCTGGAGGAAAAGAAGAGAGGCACTTCATCCACGTTGCTTGAAGTCCAGTGTAAAGTTTCCACAGTCAGTGATGGTTTGGGGTGCCATGTCATCTGCTGGTGTTGGTCCATTGTGTTTTCTGAGGTCCAGGGTCAACCCAGCCACATACCAGGAAGTTGTAGAGCACTTCATGCTTCCTGCAGCTGACCAACTTTTTGGAGATGCAGATTTCATTTTCCAACAGGACTTGGCACCTGCACACAGTGCCAAAGCTACCAGTACCTGGTTGAAGGACCATGGTATCCCTGTTCTTAATTGGCCAGCAAACTCTCCTGACCTTAACCCCATAGAAAATCTATGGGGTATTGTGAAGAAGAAGATGCAATACACCAGACCCAACAATTCAGAAGAGCTAAAAGCCACTATTAGAGCAACCTGGGCTATCATAACACCTGAGCAGTGCCACAGACTGATCGACTCCATGCCACGCCGCATTGCTGCAGTAATACAGGCCAAAGGAGGCCCAACTAAATACTGAGTGCTGTACATGCTCATACTTTTCATGTTCATACTTTTCAGTTGGCCAACATTTCTATAAATCCTTTGTTTTTATTGGTCTTCAGTAATATTCTAATTTTCTGATATGATGAATTTGAGATTTTCATTTGTTGTCATTTGTAATCATCAAAATTAAACAAAATAAACATCTGAAATATATGAGTTTGTATGTAATGTATGAATATAATATACAAGTTTCACTTTTTAAATGGAATTACTGAAATCAATCTACTTTTTCATGATATTCTAATTTTATGACCAGCACCTGTAGATCAGGATAACCTGAGCCACTCTAACTAGAAGCTTTATCAAAAAGGAAAGTTTTAAGCCTAGCCTTAAAAGTAGACAGGGTGTCTGCCTCACGGACTAAAACTGGTTGTTGGTTCCACAGGAGAGGAGCCTGATAACTAAAAGATCTGCCTCCCATTCTACTTTTAGAAATTTGATTGGAGTATTGGCTGACAGACAATAATAATAATTGAACTTTATCTCACATTGGAGAAATTAACTCTGCATTTAACCCATCCCCTCTGGGAGCAGTGGGCTGCCATTGTGCGGCGCTCGGAGAGCAGCGTGGGGTTAAGGGTTTTTGGCCAACACTCCCTAAGAATTGCTAAGAGAATAAGAGAAATGATGACAACAAACTTCCACTAAAACACATTTTACATTTAAGATTAAAACTTATATTTTTTAAAGTTTTTACTATTTACAATTCATTTTTAAATACGCAACTGTGCATATTAATATTAGTTTTCTAA